CCCAAGAATAAGACGTTTTCATGTTTGTAAAAACCCAGAAACTCTTGAGGGATAACTGTCCTTGTAGTCGATACAGTACGTACTGACTGGAAAAGTACACTCGTGTTTGAAATTTTGCCTTGATTGAAACCCATTCCTGGTTTAGTTAGCAGTTGTGCACTCTCATATGTACATTCAAGTCACAATACTCTTGAATACAATGGATTTAAAATGCTACCTTTTCATCTCTCAACTACGTGTATGTCAAGTACACAAGTACCGATAACTACTGCATGGAATCAAACTATTTCAAAGAACAGAACTCTCAAACAGGAGACGTTTCTCTGTGGAGTTGGTTTCAGGAAAAACATTGTTTCCCTTGAAAATTGTGCTTTTTAAACAACACTGACACCGATGAAGACTGTTGAGAGGCAATACACCGTGTGATAAAATTTTAAGCTGCCATGTTTAACAAATGTTCTGCAGTTGCATACGAGATGCCACCGTCGCAAATAATAAAATTCCCACTTTTGTGTTAGAAGACAATAAGAAGACTCTGAAGATCTGGATAATGCCGTATGAAACCGATTTGCTCAAAATTTATCTGACAGCAGAAAATTCTAGAAAAAAACACACGACTTCTCATGCTGGATGTGATTGGTTGATCACCTCATCACCGTGACACCGCTGCACTATCGGTCCATCCTGGTAACTTTACATCCCTCCTCAAAACCACTGTCCACAGCCTTGATTTACAGAAACGGTCATTGATGACGGTGACATTAACAAATTTTGTACAGGATTGACAAACAGTGCAATGCTGTAGAACAACTGCACAGATCCTTGCACTGATTGAACCTGCTATAGATATTCCTCACACATACAAGATGTCAGCTAAGACTAGGCCCTACCTTTTGTTTTACAATGAACTGTGCTATTTAAGATTTCAATGTGAGGTGAACAGAAAACATTTTACGTTAAGGGAGGTCACGTGAGTCTTTTTTTTCTTCAGACATCCAGAGAAATAAATTTTTCCAGGACATGAGCTTAGAGTGATCCCTCAATCAACCGCCATTCAGCACTGCAGGGCTTCACTCCATGTGATCCAACCTACATCATGTAGGGCTTGAAGGTTTTTGTTCAGTATGATGTGCTCTCAAATTTTCTTCTTCACAGGCACAATTTTCCAGTGAAAAAATAGTTAAACGACATGAAATGCGCCAAATTTGATATATTTCCGGAGGAGTGCGAGGACTTTTGCACCGTTTTCGATACCATGAACAAAGAAAACATCAGCTCTCTTCCATTATAATTGGCCGCCATTTTGAACCGTAGTATTCCATGCATTTGTACACGTATGGGCGAAGGACCACCCATACAACTGTACACATCGAACGCCTGCATGAGTTACGTTTTTATTTCTGCTCCTAAATCTACGATTTTATCCCTCATCTTTCCGCATTTTTGCAATTTACGATAAATTGATGTTCCTCTACGTTACTGGGTGAATTTACTGATCGTCTACAGTCGAAATATTTATGTCAATTTTATTGCGATATTTTAGGAAATCGCAGGGTCTTGCTTGGATGACCCGCGGCCAGGGTGGATGGTCCATTTATTTTTTCTATTTTTCGAGTTCCTACCTTTATCAGAAGCGCTCTATTTTGCACCCCTTCCGGTCCTTCCAGAGACAAAAATCCAAAAAGACGGCTGTGGGGAGACATAAATTTTTCAAAATTACCAGAATTGCAAAGTGTTAAGTGAAAAGTTTAAAATTAAAATGCAAAATTATCAAAACTTTCGGAGGTTAATTTCCATACCTGTCGAACTCGACCAACTCCGACTTGGCTGGGGTCAGAGTCGGTAGCGTTGCTCCGGTCTGTTCCGAGGCCATTTTTCTCGGGGTAAAATTCAACCACACCAAGTCCTGACCCTAGATGAGTTCCTACAGAACCCAGTCATGGCGGAAAACTTGACAATAATTCTGGGAAAGCTCAAAGTTTTCACCCAACTTGGTCAGGATGGAGCATCAAAACACAACTCGGGTTCCACGCTGAATATATTGTACATGTTCAGCATGTACCTGTGCAACCAATCATAGCGAGTAAACCGCGTCACGTGGTCCTTGCTACAATAACCGAGTGATGGCCATTTTTCGCATTGCGCGTGTAATAAAAACAAAAACACCAATATTTCAAATTTCCATTTTCTTCGGTTTCGCGCTTGGACCAGTATGGAATACGGCAATATTGAAAGAGGTTATTATTAATTTCTAGGATAAAAGAAAATGATATTTCGTCTCCGGGATATTTGTTGTAATCAGCCCGCCTGAGGTTTGGCGGGGGGGGGGGGTTGGAAGGGTTAAGTTGGGTGGGGTGGATAGGTCACAGTGAAAATTGAGAGGGAGAACGGTGTTTCCGGAAAAAATTTCAGAGCCCTCATTGTTTAATTTGGCAAATGACATTGCTGTCACCAATATCTCATTATTAAAAAAAAATTAATGGCCTGGTAGTAGCAATCAATTACCTTTAACTTTTAAAATGTCGATAGCAATATCCAACGATACAGTTGCCCTGCACTGTGTTTGTCAAAACCATTAGTGCAGTGGCAAAACACTTGTACTTGTGGGCAGGTGGTACGCGCGCGTTACATGGCTCTCCGATATGCCAAATGTACGTGCGCGTAAAAGGGAAGAATGTACACTGTACGTGTGACGTGAGTTGCCGCGGCAGTTACGGCTTCTAATTGGATCCGTCGCTACAATGCATACCGGATTGCTCAGTGAACTCGAAAAGTTTGAACAACAAAAACAGCTGGTTAGTAAGGCTACTAACTTTAAACAGTAACGAGACCCATTTAGTTTTTCTAAGTTGGCCTTGTCACTCAGAGCACGGCGCCCGTGTAATTTCCCAAGGGTCGCCGAGCCGTAACGGGAACATTTTCTACTGACAACAGAAGCATCAATGAACTGGTTTTTATCACAGACGGTAGTACATTATCTGGAGGGCATACGCCCCGATGCGTGCAAGTTGTATACGGGGTTCACGGGTCACGATATTAAAGTAGGTCGGGTTACCACCAAAATAGTACACATAGGCCTACATGTATGTCCACCACGGTCGAATTGGGGCTTTTTTATGTTCATATTTGTGCATATGATATTATTTCGTTCGATCTATTCCGCTTGTAACTACATTAAATACAATAACGAAACAAAAACGACATCTGGACCAAGGGCTGCAATAGAACCCCATGGAGAGACTCTTTCTCAAATTGAATACAATGAAGCTACCACATCCGAAATAAACCTCAAACGTCTGATAACAATTATCAATCGCAACTTTTACCGCCAACCATCATAGATTATTCATGCTTCAGGGTGCACTTACTTTACACCAACATAACAATAATTGGCCCTTCATTCCTTTCGACGCGCTATTTAGGGCCGGGGAACTTCTGAAATGAAACCAAAAAGCATGTTGATTAAAAAAATGCTTAATGCTTTCAAGATTTACTGTATTATCTCCCTGCAGCTTTGCAAATCATCTCTCCGGAAAGAAAACGAAAGGTAAATCCCCCCTTCTGCTTAAAATTTAGCGAAAGCTATCAATGAAGCCCTTGCAGCTTGCTGTCAAACGGCATTCTGTCCATAAATACTTTATTTTGCAGCGAAGGGGCAGCTTATGAAACTCCGTCAACAACTGGGGAATATGAAGCGAGTTCAGTGGCTGAAGACGTCGCTGAGAAGTGAAGGGAGCTGAGCCTATTAAGAGAGAAGATTTCTTAGAAGAGAGTGGAGGGTGCATCACGAGACGTCTTGAAAGATTGCTTCAGACTAGACGAGTGTACATATATGACGGACTCCCTTACAAATATGGAACGTAGCGGAGCTATTGGGTTTGTTCTAAAACAAGTAATGAGCAAAAGGGGCTGTAGGGCAACTTCTATGAACTTCGTGATGTGCATGCGTAAATGCATAAATACATAATCCACGAATAAAGAACGTTGCATTCAAAGATTAGGAGTGTTGTAAAAAATAATGTGTATCCCAGATTAGACGCCATAGCTGCGGCAGCACCGCACTCATGTCACACGCACATTCTTCAGCTTGACGCGCGCGTGCATTTGGCAAAACACGACACCTTATTGGTCAAAGAGGCATGTAACGCGTGCGTACCACCTGTCTACGAGCGCCCTCGGCCTCGAGCATTCCCAGAATACGCCATACTCGTCAGAGGGGAGGGGTGTAATAATTTTACCGTCACACAGCAGAGCCGTGGTGAAACAGGGGCTGCGATGGGAAATCGCTAAACTCAAACTGCAGGAAGATTGTCACAGATTTTGTTCGTTCAATATCTTTCACAAAATTTATGAAACGGTACAGCGATATGCAAAATGAACAGTAAACGACAATCCCAAAAACAGTTTGGGTTTAATTCAGCAGCTCTGTAGTTTTGCACTTCCACGCTTAGCATATCCTTTGAAAATCAGGGAATGGTGTCTGATGAGAATTTACGACAAATGCAGCTAGTTTCATGTTTATGGTTCATCTCCAAGGACAGCTACAAGACGTTTCTTGTTCATGCCGGGCAAGCAAAAGTTGCAGAGGGCGCTAATTACAGTACGCAGTACATTGCAAGTACAAAGTGGACGTTTGAGGCCGTTTTCCAATACTCTATTCGTCTCCGTCAGGATTTGTCTATGAAACCAATCCCCGATTGTGACCCCAAGGCGTTTAAATCAAATCAAAGTACTGTAATGCTTTGCTATTTTTCCTCTCACTTGATGTTTGGTGGCATTATTAAACTTATTAATGCGCTTACAACTTCAAAGTCACGTCGTAAAAACCAGTTGAAGCCTTAACGGAGCCGAAGTCGAGTATTGGAAAACTGATTGGTTTTTAGACGGATGCTCGGCTTCATTGCGCGCGTACAATAACAGTAATTCGTCTAGGAGCTAGCTAAAGTCTGGTTTCCAGTCTGTTTCTTAAACTTGCCAAGAGCCTATCTTTGACCACCTGTCTTTTACTCAATAATACAACGTGCATGCACTTGACAGGACTGATGTGATTTTTTTTGCTTCTGTCCGTGGTTTCATATTGAAAAAAAAATAATATTCCTCATCCAAAATGCAGTTAATTTGTCGGATAGAATGCACAGGGTTTAATACTTCTTTTGCTATGACAGATTTAGGAATATTTGGACAGCTTAAACATGTTAAACAGAATTATCGGTATAATTTGTGCAATATTGACGTGTTGGTTTTGAAACTGAAACTTTGAAGTTTCTAACTAAGCCCTGCCAGTGTCACTTTGCATGTTGTTTTTAACCACATAAGATGAATGTCAACCACAAAGTTGTATGATTTTATATAGTTTCTTCATAACTGATTTCAAGAAAAACTCTGCTTGATTTTTTTCTCTTCCATTAAAATAGCGACGCCATGGCGACTGCAAAGCTTGGGAAAAAACACCTACTGGAACCGTCTGGAGGTGGTCCTCCAGCGAAGAAAGGCCATTGGAGTTTAGGGCTAAAAGATTCCATGAACGACCCCAGCAAGCAGGTGCAGGAGGATGACAGAGTGGTCGTCATCAAAGATAAATATCCCAAGGTAGGCCTGATGGTAGCCCCTTTTAATGGTGGAACCCCTGGCTGGAGGAAGTCCAATAATTAATATGAACCGCATTATGAGGCTAGCTGGATGGTTGCTGTTGATTCAGACTAGTCTGAGTAACTTAGACCCTACAAAGTACCTTTTTTAACATTCAGACATGGTCGGGCGATAGTAGGGTCCAAGTACCTTCCATCTAGGCTTTAGCTTCTATATAATTCATTTCACTCAAAAAAACTCTTACCCCGAGTCAAAATCCTCCAAATTCACCTCTAAAACTGTCCTTGAAATGTCTAATGCCGTCTATGGATTAAGTGAGACTTGGAGATTCTAATAATAATAATATGGTTTATTCATAAGTGGGAAAAGAGAACTTTCCCCATCAAATCAGAAACACTCTTGTCAATGATCTCGAAGACGCCATCTTTCCTCAAATAGTGATTTGAACTATATGTTGATGTCCTGTTGATGATGTCACGGCGTGCCGGCCTAGTGGATCATTCAAGTATGCTGTGTTGGCACATGCGCGCTGACAACTGTTTCCTGAGCACTGCAATGTTCAGTGTACAGTTTCGATATGGTCACAGCCACTAAACTTTGCACCGCTTTAATTTAAATTTAATTGAAAAGGAATAGAAATCTTCATCTCGTTAATCTTGCTAAATCATGGCTGGAGATACTCGTAGATGTGGGAAGCTATTATATTGGTTATAATGTACAATTGTGTGTGTTATTGCCACTGATTTTGTATATGGTTTGTTCATTAACAATCTGTCGGTTGGTACAACTGAATGTTTGGATATTCAGTTGAATTGAAGGTTGAATATTTGAATAGTGAATTATTTGAATTGACTCGGCCCTAATTTTCTTGTTATTACTTTTCCTTGAGGCAAGATATCACTTCTTGGTGCTTCCCAAAGAGAACATAAGTAAATTGAAGGCCCTGAAAGCAGACCATTTGGACCTGCTGAAACACATGCATGAAGTTGGGCAAAGAGTTATCGAAGGGTGAGGTTTTTCACTTTTTTTTAAATGGCATTATTGTGTTTTGACACCTCACTTATGGGGTAGTATTCATGCTTTAGTTATTTTTAATTCCCTTGACAAGTTTGAATTCAAATTAGCCTGCCAACTCTTGAAGGCACTGTAATCAACTTGTTCAGATATCTGCACTTGTAAATGGAGTGCTATAGGTTCGAATCCCCACTGAAAGCATCTGCAGAGTATTCAATTGTGTGCATGTAATATTACCCTTAACCCTAACCCTCCTCAATCCTTCACCTGTTGGAGGATTGAGGAGGGTTAGGGTTAATTGAGACAAATCTGTGTTACTGATTTCCATCCAAAGTATGAATTCCTCTTCCAAACTGTTGAGATAAATTAAATCTTTTCCCCTTCAGGGCGATCGGGGAAGAAGGACTCTCTTACAGACTTGGCTATCATGCTGTACCAAGCATGAGGTAAAATTTGATCAGACTTAAAGACTGAAGTTGATAATCTTTGCACATTTTGTGAAGAAAGAAAGAAAAAAGAGGAAGAGAGCTATTAAATTTGGAAGAACTTCATATGGAAAAAGCAATGGGCATTCTTAAATCTGCTTGTATCTGAACTGTCAAATATATATTGCATAAAAATGACAGTAATGTTGTAGTCTCATAAAGTGCCCTTTTCTCATTTTAGCCATTTGCATCTTCATGCTATCAGTCAGGATTTTGATTCTCCGTCACTAAAAACAAAGAAACACTGGAACTCCTTCACGTCAGCATACTTTGTTGACTCCAAAGGTAATGTATAAATACATGGCAAAACCCCAAACTGCCGCACTGGCTTTGGAACTTGGCAAGAACCACTTTGTGAAGGCTTAAAGAGACGAGTTGTTTTGAAGGAACTTTCTTTGAATTGCGACATGTGAGCTATATAGCTAAATGGGAATTTGAGTATTTGTTGGAATTATTTATTGTTTCAGGAAGAGCGCTTCAGTCAGTGTTACTCTTAGTATGAGGTGTGATGTGATCATTTCATGCGGCACTTAGTAAACTGTCTTGGATTCACTGTCCTGTTCAGAGCATTATCCAATGTTGTAGTCGAGTTCTTTCCGTGTACCAAGGTTCTCTGCTAGATATTAGACTAGGTAAAAGGAAATAAAGCTTGAGTACACAGGCCTTTGATGGTAAATGCACAAAGGTAAGATAAACTAAATTTAAGACTTCGGACACTCCCAGTTTTGTAAAATTTAAGTTCTGAGGAGAAAAGTACTCGGAATGTACTTGGCCAAGTACTTTTGTCCTAAAACTTAATTTTTATTTAACAGTGATAGTGTGAAGTCATCAGTGTACTTTGTAATCTTACCTTTGTGAAATGCCCATGTACTTCAGCTTTGGTCCCTCCTAACTAGTTAAATTTTTTATTGTAAAGATGAACAAAAAAATTGACCGAAGCGAGATTTGAACCTGTGACCTCTGGAATACCGTACTGGTGCTCTACCAACTGAGCTATCCAACCCTATGTAGGTGGCTCTTCCCATTTGTCAATATCTCTGTTCGGGGCCCTAGCTAGAAGTCATTAAACCTGAAACATCATGTAGCCAGGGATCCCACCCCAATTACACGACACAACCTGGGAAGTGGTGAACAGGGATCACTCAGAGAGAATAGTTACATTTTTGGTAGAGAACTTGGTACTTTGAAAAGTACTTGACCGCAGCATTGGCATCATCCCAGATCTCTCTTTGTTATACGTCGCACTTTTTCTCTCACGCTTAACTTGCAGAAGTCATGGATCAGTTGGAGACAGAAGGCAAAGTTGACACCTCGGCTAAGAATCCTGAGGCATTACTCAAACTGCCGCTCAGGTGAGTATCATCAGATATCACTGAGGATGACTCACTACAGTGTAGCATTCTTGGTTAATTTGATCTCAGTGTTGAAAAAAATTCACAGACAAATGTACATGTATGGAGTTTTGTGGACACCTCTCAGGTTTCTGTTCTGTGGACAGTGCACTGTTAAATACATCAGCCTGAACTGGTGGAGTATCACATGACTTGGATATTTTGGAGGATATGTTGTTTGTACCACCTTTGGGTGGAAGGTGAGCAGTGTTGGTGGTGTGAATCATGGAATGACAAAAGAATTTAATGCCTTAGAGCCCTGTCTCTAATCTGTACAGGAATTTCACACTTGGTCGAGGTAGGAAATGTAAAATCAATTCAAGTTTTGCTTCTACTTTCTTTTTCTGCTTTCAGGTGTCATGTGTGCAAGAAGGAGCTGGCGACTATGCCCAAACTGAAAGAACACATTGTCACTCACATCAAGAAAAGATGACCACTGGCTTAGGCTTGGGGTGATGCTGCCGAGGAAGTTCTGGGAGGGGGCGGGAAGCAGGGGAGGGGAAGTGATCGGATGTTGGGTTTGGCTTTTGCTATGACAAGAAGACTTCAAACAACCAACATTTTTGTTTGCAGAAAATCCCTTTTTCATTGACTGTACTCCATTATCTAAAAATGTCCAAAGTAAACAACATGGAAAAATCCAAAATTTCCTCCAAAACTTTTATTCAAAAACTAAAAAAATTTCTGTACAAGAATTAGTACATCTCTGTTAATACTTCATTAAATATTACAGTTGTGAGTAGTTTGAGAAAAATATTTTGCATACATTGATTTATTTTAATATACTATATACTATATACAGTGTACATGATATGGGAGACTGCTTTCATCAGATACTTGGAGAATATCAATGTTAATCCCTGTGGAATTGTTTTCATCACCTTATGGAATCCAGCGTGATTATCATCTGGGGGAAAGTCCCCCTGGTGTGACCTGGTGTGACCAACATAAGTCAAATTAATTTGACTGTCCAATTTTTACTCTTGATTATGCATGGCAAATAAAGAAAAGGGGAAAACTGCATGAATGGCAACATCTGGGTCAAAGACGGTAGAATCCAGGTGAACGGCTCGCTTCGCTGTGGCTCAGTTGGGTACTATCCCCCACCACAGGAAATTCAGAACCATTTATAGGACCTACATTTAATCTAAGCAGCACTCAAACCAATTGCACAATCAGTGAGTGACTGGGTGTTCGACTGGATCACAGTGGACTTGAGTCCAATAAATTGGATACACGTCATCAGAGTACAAAAGCCATCAGGTGACGTGTGTGCATAAGCAATCTTGTGGTCCATACTTCGGCACAAATATTGCTCTACATTTGGCATGCAACTCGTAGTGCTTTGAGGGATTTTTTGGGAACTGAAGTGACTTGGACAAAGTTCCTCTACCTTATGCGAGGGTACTTGTGTAGATAAAAGATTCAATTTTTTGTTCTGATTGAATATCGAAAGTTGATGCGGTCGTGTACATTCAGAAATAGCTACGGTTATTGTCACTAAAAATGACACCATGAATTTCATTGATCAGCTAAGGACAGTGTGGAAGGAGTGGCTAACCTATTGCGCCACAAGACCTTGACGTCACTGGGTAAACGTTTTGTTCAAGTGCCTTGTTGACTGACCTGATATCACACTATCTTTGGCGTCACTTCCCACGTGTTGGAATTCAGTATCTCAGTTCCAGTCTTTGAGTAAATATTTGTCAGACTGCAAAGTGGATATTTATTTTGCAGAAATATAATCTCCCTGCAAGAAATAAAGTTCTTTAAAATTTGAAAATCCTAACATTGATGTGTTAGCAGAACCCATGAGTAATATCCTAAAAGTTAATGTATGTATAGTTTTGAAAGTTTAGAAACTTAAATTCAGCTAAGTTGTTGAATTTATTGTATCCTGGCAGGGAATTACTAAAATCGTTCACACACAATTTCCTTTGTCAATACTTTGATAAGCATAGTCAAAAAAATACTAACGGGCCATTTTTTTGTCACCGGCCCAAAAGCAAGTTCACAAGTCCAAATGAAGTTGACTAGCCTACGGGGTGATACTATAATCTCTCAAATCACATTTTGAAAGGTTTCTTTTTCTTCACTTGCCTGAGGGACAGCACTTAATGTAAGTTTCAAGAGTCCCATAAAGAGTGTGTCAGTGTTTGTCAGCGAGGCTTATTGAGAACAACATTTTAAAATTGAGGCTTTTTTGGGTTTCTGTCAAAATGCTTTAAAATTAGAAGTACACACCTGTACTGCTTTAGTACCAGGTTGATTATTACAATGCTTGCATCTGCATTACCTTCGCGTTCCAAGGAGTTGCTGTAACTGTCCCTTCATGTATTATGTATCACAATCAACTGAAAACTTAAAGACCTGAAAGATATAAATATTATTTAATACTTTGTAACATAACTTGTAACTAGATTTAGTTTTTAAATCCGTTTAGTCTAGGCAACAGTATAACAAGTAGCATACTCGATGCAATTCAGACAGAAAGTTCTTCGGAAATGTTGCTAGAATCTCAAATATTTTTATCAAAGTATGGTTTCAGTGGAAAGTCACAGTTTATAAGGCTTGGAGTGTTGCGTAACTATGATGCTTGCTGTGTTGGGGGCGGAGCCACTGGTTGAGCTAGGGGAGGCCCAGCGTGAGGGTGATGCCAACGGCTGCACCGATGATAGACAGGAACCAAAGACGAGAGGATGAGACTCGGTAGCTCTGGACATGATGAACCATGGCGGGCTGTAACATGGGTTCAGATGGCAACAAGGTGTATCAGTTATAGAAATTTTGCTTATGACGGATGGGACAGTGTTTAACATTGCCTGGAAATGGACAGATACTTATTTTGTTTTAATCCTAGATGAAGCCCTAAGTGTAACACACATGCTAATGACATTTGATACAAACTCTCCCCACCCCAATCAAGAAGAACATAAAAGATAAGTCAGGAAAGTTGAATCTTGTAGGAGTTCCAGATAGTGAGCTTACCCAGCCTCCTTGTTTAACAACCCAAGCAGCCAAGCGTCTCCTGGTGAACTTTTGCATAGAATCTACAACGATGTTGGCATAGTTCACGTGACCCTGCTCCACGCATTCCACAACTAAGGCGCCGGTAAATGCAAAGAGCGCCACCACGCGTGCCCAGGTGATGGAGCGTCGGAAGAGCTCGGCGGCCACGGCTGTAAAGACTGTCTGCAGCTGGGCCCCGGTTTGAAAGTTGACATGAAGGTACGTGCAGATGTCTTTGAAGAGATATGGGTACATTCGGTCAAACTCCTGCGTGATGGTCACGAGTTCGCGGGAGACGTCGCACGCCCCGCACGTCATGTCGTGCCCTTTCGGCTGACAGGCGCGCACAACGTCATCAACCTCCAGGCCTGGCGGATAGATGTCGTGCTTGAGGAGGGAGTTCTCACGCAGCTTGGTGAAGATGTAATCGCGGCACAGGACCCGCGTCTGCTGAACAACCATCTCCTCGGTATACGGGCTGTCAAATAGCTTGCCCAAACCAATGAAAGTGGCAGCTTTGATGGCTTGCTCATTCAAGAAGGATGAAACCATCTCAACAGCTGCCAACATTCGCTCTGATGATGTCTTCCAGCGCTCCTTGAGCAAGAAGGAGGCAGACATACTACTGCGACTTATCCGACGAGTCTTTGATAGTTTCTTGCCACCTGTCATGATTGATTATACTCTCACTCCTCAATCAGGACCTCTTCAATCCAAAATACTCTCCTGTCGTACTACTGCAGGAAAATGTGGATTGCTATGGAAGACTTGGCGGTAACCCGTTTGTTTATCTGAAAGAGAGTTTGGAACAAATAGATCACATAAATAATAATAATGTGCAATTCACTAAGCAATAATATAAGATTTTAACAATAAATTAATTACCAGTTCTCATCTGCTTACTGATGACGTCATTCTTGAAATACTGTTAGTCATGTCAGTGTTACTTACTGACATACTGAGCATACTAGCACGAATCACTAACCTTCATTTTATCCTCTCCCGGGAGAGGATAAAATGAAAATCTGTCATCAGGTCATTCCATTTCCAGTCAGCCACAACCTTTCTTGAACAAAAAAGCTGTAATTCATGATAATTTTATTACAAAAAAAATTCTGCAAGAGCTAAACAGGTACTAACGAAAGAGAACTAGTCACTGTTACCGTACGACTAAGCATGACGTATCACATTAACTACATTACAAGCCTGTCTTCGGTACATGTAAATGATTTATGATGATATAGATTCAATGTTGCAGTGTCGGAAACTCACCAACGCGCCAACACTGAAATCGACATTTCAAAATTACACACTTACCGCACGTGCTGATGATTGATCAAACTACCCTTGAATTTACATGACGCAGATCTACAGGTCTAATTTTGACCCTTAAACCTCTAAAACAAGATAAATGGGGCAATTTTTAGCAGGTGTTTGTACCACTTCGTGACGAAGTCCACCAACATTGTTTAGGAAGTTTATTTGCGCCACAACGCCCTCGTTAAAGTTTCGGTACTGCGCCCTCTCGTGCCACGATTCAGAAATAATTTTTACCGCAAATTCTGGCAAAAAATGAGTAATCCTAAGAGAGCTTGCGATTCTGAGTAGTTGAACCCCCCTTGACGAAACGCTGTTCAAGACACGTCCGAAAGCAACAAATAAGTTAATCACTTGTGGCGAGACAATTAATCTGCAATCGGCATGTGTGCCCACCTAGTCATGTGATTTGTGCATAGTAAACGGGTCAGACTGACCAGCAATCGACGTCCCGTGGAGCTTGACCTGTTTCCGGGTGAAGAGATGTCCCTTTCCGGTTTAAAATGAACCAGAAATGGGTCAGAAAGACTTAGAAGAGTGCCAATTTTGACCTGGAAAACAGTCAGGCCCAACGGGACGCAGATGAACTGATAAACTGATGAAAAATAAAGACACACAACAGCCGTCTGATGACTTTTCGAGAGATATTGGAAAACAGTGGCACATCTTTCATTGTCTAATCAATAATTGCAAACGAGGCTTGAACTTGGTTCCTTCTCGATCCCCTTCATCACCATTGCTCATAGGAAAACAAAGGTACCCACGTCTTTCACACAGACTCAACGAGCTGGCGAGCATTTTTACCCTTCCGGTGATCGTAGGCCAGAAGTGTTTCACCCATATCTCCACCTATGATTTCGCTCGGGGTGTACGAAGCTTCCATTTACGTGCATCTTCACTCTACACGACGTGGAGAATTATTCACGTCACCCGGACAGTCTTGAAGTAGGCAGAGAGGAACGAGGATTCATTAGCAACAGCCCATCGGTTGAGTGCGGCGTTGATGCGAGTGTCAATTCGTCATACTTCTTAGCAGCACTGCTGAGAAAACATCGCGTCGAGGGCGCGCATACCCATGCATCTCGCTAAAAGACTCGGGTGACATCTCCACCTCGTGAATGGTACATCCTGTCAGAGAGAACTCAGGACAAACTTCCAGTGGACATGAAAGACGCATCTCGTGGTTGAAAGCAGCTCTGTAATTGCCGCTGACGGACACACAAGCTGATTGCAACTTTAACGACTTGGACTGTTTGGACAGGCACCTTCCAATCGCATTTGTAAGTCAGGTAAGATTTTATCAAAGTATCTCTAATCAAAGCGGACTAAGAATATTTGTATTCTGTGACTTGAACACAGGATTTCGACATAAAAACAATCGCAACGCCTTTTTAAGTTCTTCATTTCAGTATCTGCCTTATCTCTGTAGATTGCTCCTTGTAATTAATTACTGTCAGTGACTTCATAACAGCTGTAATTTAGGCTATCGGGTCTAGCTGTCGATGGCATCATGCACAAGGTCTCTCATTACCTAATCAACTTGAATGTTTCCCTATCTCCGTTTTGAAATAAGCCAAGGTGAACCCTTTTGAAAACTTAATCGGCAATAATTGTACTGGCGGGAAGGATGTCTTGGGTTCAGACCCCGCCTACACCATTGTTCTCTTAGTTTTTACACTCAAATTTCCAAGGTGTCAGCAAGATAGGTTGATCTATATCAGGAGCTTATAACAAACAAGTGCAATGTAGACTTCGTGTTAAGGTTGCCCATTCCTTTAAAGGGCAAAAATGTCCTACCAGCGTGAATATAATAAAAACGGAGGGCTTTCTGAAAATGCACAGTTTGAGGAACCATGCAGTACATTAACAAACCATGGTTCGATTCCCTTTCGAGTAGACGTCAGGATTTCTGAAATGCGAAATTAGACAAACTTAAAAGCATATTGAAGACAATTTTCTTCGGCACAATTCCCTAGAAAGCCCTGTAAATACTGCTCTTCGTCGATCAAATACGAAGCTTGGGAATTATCAGCCAGGACCCTGGGGTGAGCACCTCAGTTGCTTAAAATCACCCGACCCCCTCTCAAAATCTCATCATTCAAAAACATGTTCGGCTATCCTCCCGGGTGCCTGAATTTTATTTATGATCCGATCGGGTTGAATTTAATTAGTGGCTCGTGAGAACAACCTCATGCAACACTAGCCGGAGTGTGATTAAACCAGTCGAGCGTATGAACGATAGAGAAGCTAACAAGATTCCTCTCTTTTAATCTAATTCCACGGAGACGAGAAATATTATAGCCATGCGTGTGCGCTTCAGCCAATACCTCCGGTATTTCTGTGAAAAAATAATCATACTCCAAATAGATCACATGCACAAATGTACAGAATAGAAATCAGCCGTGATGTTGGTGGATTTTCAACCCGCTGCAGAATGTAAACATTAACTTGAACTGACTATTTGCCCGGTCAACATCCTAAACTCGTGGAATTTATCGACAAGCTTGAACGTTGGAAGAAGGCAATAAAAGCTGACAAGGTTGGGCAAATGAAATGATAAATTTTCTTTCTTGTTTGTAGTGGAGCTGTCGACACTCGAAGCCATAGGGCTTCACAGTGGTGTGATTGGCAATAGATGCTCAATATAAAACAGTACCGGTTAGGGAACAATATTGAACCTACAGTAAGACCAAGGAAATTGTGCAAGCGTCCTTCTATTTTGACAACTGTCATGTATTCCCCCTGACTTCGACTCCAAAGAACGAATAAAGAAAAAAGTACTTTTTTGTGGCATCTTTTTGAGTTGTCATGAAATTTTTCTCCAATTTCCTCAGTGTGAGTTTTGGAATGCCCGTTAAGGTTTTCCTTTAAGCAATACCATAATTAGATGATTTAATTATGGACTTTTATCAGCGAACGAGCGCGTCTATTATAGCTCATCTTAATAGGAGGTAATATCCAATAATTAACATTCAGCCGCGCAAAGAGTGTTTTGTGCAAAAGTGATGCAGTATGTGAGCTCAAGACTCCCGCGGCGTCAATCTCCTTCGGTGTCTTTAATGAAGACAACAATTTTTGAGTACTTATTAAGGGATTGACTACCGAAATTACACAGGAGTAAATTACTAATGTAAGAATAAATAAAAAATGAAAATAAAAGAAGCAAGAATCCCTTTCAAATTTCATTCTCCTCTATAATACGCAAGAGTTGACTTTTCTGGTGCCATACTCTACAGTTTTCTTTGCTTCTGCGAACCTTACGACGGAATGCATAGTTACTGCAATAAAGATTACATCAGTTTAGTTTGGTAGTGCAAAAATACCTTTTGAAGGGCAAATAATAGCTTCAGACGATTGGGAATAAAGTTGCTTCCTCTTTGTTCGCTCTTTGGCCACTCATTGAATCTTGGAATGGCATTTAAACAGTCACACCAAGGGATAAGTAATAGGATGAATGCCACAGATCTTATTGAAGCAATAGATTGAGAGAGGCAAACAATGTAAATAAACACCAGAAGTATAAAATGGAACATTTCTCGAAGTTAGAGTGATATTAGGTTCCGGAAGATCCCACAGCGGTGTTTGGGGAGAGTACAGATTTAGCACTCCAAATAAACTCTACCGGCAATTCGGAACGTCGAGATAGTTGATTGAAATTGTGAGACATCAATTTCACTTTTGTTTGTTGTGAAAGAGCTGGTTATTCTTCAGTTTGTCATATTTGTACTGGGAAACAGAAGTGGTATGAATGTATTTCAAAGGCTTTGTACGGTAGCTTGTAAAGGCCAGCCGAGCGGCATGAGGATAGGACAAGCAGTGCTATTGTGTGTGTGTGCAGTGTGCGGAGACTAGAAGATCGTCAAATAGTCAAACTCAAACATTTGTTTTTTGGCCATTTACTCCGAAGTCTATCGACGATCCTGGGACTCACTTTCCTGCCTGGCTACAGCGATCCCAACCGATGTTTGCGTGGATAATTGTCAGGACATCCGATCCTCAGCCGCTGCATCCTCTTATTGATTTGGGCAATGCACGCTATTCCTTAATTTACCGTTTTGTTTTTATAATTTAATCATACAGCCGGAATTGCCGACAGTTACGCGTTATGGATAAGACACTTCCTGTGTGAACGGCTGTTTGGTGCCCACAATATACAGAAAAACCTCAGCAAACTTAAAGCAAACTATAAACAAAATCAAGTATAGAGTTGAAACTCTGATATTCTTCCGCGGTGAGTTCTTTGTTCTTGAATAATTGCTAAGTGAATAAAGAGCAAAGTCAGATCCGTTTAGACCAAAAAAACTGAACTGAAATAAATTCCGAACTCGACGAGGTCATTCAGCGATTTCTTGTTGACTAATGAACAGATTTGAATGCGATTGTTATGTTTTTATCTCTCTGTCGAGGGAAGAGTTCAAATTTATAGAAGGCAATTGAGCATTTCGACAAGAGTAAATACATACCATGCACACAAAAATAATTTTACAATTTCGGGACTCAATTACAGAAAATATTGCCATTTGCGCTCAATTTTCTTGAAAGTAACCAGCATCTTCCCATAGTAATCGAAAGAACTATTACAGACTTGAATAACTGGATTCTCCTCACGGCCCACCCAAGTCATGCCCCTCCTAACATGTATCGTAGGGCCCTCTGCAAGAAAGCTGTACTCCATTACGTTCAGGGGAGTTTAGTGAATTTCTTGGGGGGCACCTTGGAGGTTCAATAAGTTAATGGAACAGCCGTCTAGTTTGTATCAACTGAGATCTGGGGAGTGTATTGGAAGACTACACCCGTGATCAATGTCGGTGCGTCTGCCAGGCATCGCCCGTATCTTTACGATCCGGCAAGTCATTTGTCGATACCCAACCTGGGACTGCATAACTCGACCTGCCATTACGCTGATTGGCAACGCGAAACTGGGGCTCCAATTTAAATAATAAGTCTGGAGTAGTCATTGGGTATTCGCTGCTACCGATGACCACAGCAGTTTCATCTATTCAGTTCGCTTTGTGAGTGGAATGGAGTTGCGTCCATTTGGGGTAAAAGCCTGCCAAAATCCGCATATTGAAATTACCGTATGTAACATGGCCTTTAAAGTTATAACATCGTATGAAACGGGTATAGAAAGAACAAGGATTTCTTGCTATTATTTTGGAAACGATTTCTACGATAACTGTGTTTCATTCCTATCCCAGCAGAATAATATATTTAAATCATTATAGTCAGTATAAGCAATATCTGCAGCATTCTGTATTATATTTCTGAGAAAAACAAAATTGTAAATATCATGTCATTTTATTTTGTAAATCAATATAATCGATATAATGCAATCTTTACTATTTTATGCCGCAACTGTAAAACGCAAATATGTATTTGGAAAGACCTTAGATATCATCTTTCGTGGACCCTAGAAAAGTTCGAGATTTCGTCGATTTCACTTTATTCACACTGCGCTGTCTAATATATAATTCTGCTTCTACGAAACTCAAAGAAAGTGGGTGATGCATTTCTAGTCTTCTTCCTCGCTTTCTTGCCTCTGGCGTGTCTCGTCTTGTGACTTCAGACAAGTTAAGAAAAAAATAATCCAATTTTCCGTATGATCTCGATATGAACCCATTATTGATCGCCGGCAGCAAAAGAGTGGAACAGCGCACGCTGGATTAATCAAGGATTATGCACCTCGAAAAGTTCTCAGAAAAGGAAAGTACCGTTTGTTTTCAAAAATGTTTTCAGAGGAACGATCCGTCTGTTTCTTCTTTTGGAACTAAACTGCTGTCTTCTTTCGGATTTGCAAGCTCTCGAGGAGAAGAACTATAATCTGGCTCTAAGTTGCCGACACACGGTCACATGATATCACTTTATCGTTGGATCTTTAGAATTTAAACGAACCTCTTCACAGAATTTTCCGCACATAAGTGTTGCTTTTTTGTTAATATGACACGTCAACATATGCATAATTAATTTGAAAAGGTCTTTAGTAGTTTCAGTTTATCCACGAATCCATACCCAGAACCTAATTAATACTGCCATCATTCTTAGGTCCAGTGTTTTACGTCTTTGACAACCATTGGCAGCAGCAGTTACTGAACGCATAATTTTCTGAACACATTGTTATTCAACGAGAAAGTATCGATAATATCTTTGTTGAGGTTTTGTTGATGAAGGCTACAAGGAATGCGGCTTATTTAAATGTGAAGTCAATGTTTGAAAAAACAAGAGGGTGAGATCTCATGTCTGAACAATTTAATCTTCCCGATGAAATGGTGGATCTGTCACTTGAATTAAGCATGATACATGGGACACGGCTTGCCAGCCGCATATCCAACTGAAATTTTCGATTACCGTATGATAAAATGACCCATACTTCACTCGGCATGCCAATGACGTCATACTGCCCGCCCGACCCCGCCTTGACCTCGTTAAAGTCACATCTTTGGAGGTCGACAGACGTAAGATGACGCAAATATGTTGGCGCACGTGACCAAGACTTCACTAGATACTATCCAAGAACGATTGGAAACTTCAGACAGATGTCCTTCTGGCTTGGGGTCAGCTCAGCTGACCTTACGTCACAGTTTTATGTTATACAGTAACTATTCTTCTACGTTCGATGTATACAAATATAACAATATAATCCAAGGGATTAAACTGTGATTTCGCTAGCAATATGGAGACATATTTTACGGCCTTGCGAGCTTAGGATGTCGAAGATTTCCTCCCTTAATGTCAGTATCTCGACGGGTAGACCTGTCAGCATACCGGAGCCCACCGCTGGGTTGCCGAACCCAAGTTATTTAGCGTAATTGGGCTCTAGGGGAGGGGAGAGACTGTTTCCCCCACGGAAGGCTTTTAGAAAGAGAAAGACGGACGCCAACCAGCACATGCATCCCCACCGTTGACAGGACTCATCCGCTTGTTATGTGCGAGGCAACAATTGCGCCCGGGATCGAATGACGGGTTAATAATAGCTCGCGTGACATTTTAGCGAGTTTGCCAGTCATTCGCTATCTACCGTAGATAGCAGAGCACGAACCCGCCACACGACGCCAATGATTCCCTCCTATAAGTTACTGCATGGGATTAAATTCCCGAACGGCGACGCCAACATTTCGTGGTAACTTTGGATGTTGTCCAATGTTGTCTCCTGAATGTTTGAGTTTAGGAAATTGGTTTACACAGTATATAAAAAATCCGTAAGAATCAGCGACAACAACTAACTCAATGATGACCTAGAAAAATATGACAATACTTAGAAAAAACTTTACAGCAACTTCATGAACACAAACTGGGCAAATGAACTTGCAACGAGGAGAGGAGGAACTTCACGGGCACAATTCAGGTGACAGCTTTATTGAATACACGAAACACTCAAAGAAAAAAGAGCTTCAGTTTATGGGGGGGATATAAATATGGGTCTGTCATAATGGATTGGATTACTCAGAACTATGGATTTCTCTATTGAATGAAATAATAATTAATATGAAAACAAACATTGCTTTATTGAAACCATCGCAGAGTCCGGATTCGCCCCAGAATTAGAACTGAACATAAGTATACAAATAAGGGCAATGCTCTTGCGATTCCATATGGAACTAATAAATCGAGAGAGCGACCACATGTCGGCTATAAAAATGACTTTTATTATCAAGAGCTGAATTAATCATTTTTCCCGCGTAACGTATCACACGACTTCAGTTCATTCTGAGTTTGTGTGCATATTGAATTGTTTATATCTCAGAACTGCATGGCCGCAGGGCAAGGACCCTTTAAAGGTGAACGTACGGAGCGGGAACTAGAAATGACAAACGTTTCATAATATAGTTTTGAGAGTTATTTTTCTTAAATTGAAAGTATTACCTGTTATTTCTTTGGGTCAAAAGATTCAGTGAACAGAAACAAGGTCAGTTGAAATCATTTTGTATCAAACATTACTTTGAAGATGGTTCCCTGGTGCTGAAAATCTCTTTCCAGGAATGCGGTAGGTACGTGCTTGGAGCAGTTCCACGACATGTGGACCTGTTAAGCGTCGGTCTGAAAGGCACCTTCACACTTAAGGTACCCAAGCAAAAATATCAAGGTTTGTTCTTAGTCCTGCTCTAGTTTAGTTTGCCTCTCAAAAATGAACTTGAAACAAAAATAATTTCATCCAGTTTAGAAATAGCAACACACAATACAATCAAGTCATACAATCCGTTCTCATTCTCACCAGTACTCCGACACCAGTGACGCAGTTTGTCGGGGCTGTGACGCCACACTGGGCTCCAAGTTTAGAAGCCCACGTCTTCCCCTGTGGGCCAGGCCAGCCCACCCGGGGTAGACCCTGCCGCTTCCGTACGCCGTCCCCGCGAGATTTCCAGCTCATTCTTGCCCTTTGACGACGGGGGAAAGGCCGTCTATGACGGGGCTATCGTCTGACACGACCGCTGCCGCGCACGTATGCCATCTGGACCTCCACTTCAGCACGGCTGATCACTGCCAGTGCAACTGTTCAAAATATCAATGCAGCTAAAAACATAAATGATTTCAGCCGACTGATGAAGACGGCTTTTCTTTGAGTTCGTTTTTTGTCGGTGACGGCGGATGTCAGGCTAAAAGCCACATAAAGATTAATGGAAAGCAGAGTCTGAAATTGGACGATACTTCATAACAGCTTCAGTCAACAGAAGAGTGACGTCATTTTTTGTAGAGTTATACTTCGCGATGATGATGTCAGAAATGTCAAAGGGCGCCTATATAGAGGTCGATATTGCTCCCGGATAATTAAGATGAAAATTTCCCTTTTACTCTCTCCCTTAAAAATTGAGGTTCAAACAAGAACCGTTCTGGTGTATAAGGAGGCAGAATTCTAACGAAACCAAGTACGCGTAACTCAAAAATTCCACCAATCCAATCACAGGCGAGCTTGGCCTCCTTCAAAACGGGCTCTTTCAAAGCGAACACCAGCCTACTTTCTCACCTTTCGCCGAAATGAAATTAATCTATAGGCGCCTATGAGTTGAATAAACCGCGCAATGGGCTCTCGTTTCATATTGATTACGTTCACGGTGTGTTTCTTTTGTATCACAGGATATATACACCACCGCCGGGCAAGCAAGGATAGCGACACTTTACAGTCACCGCACGGGGAAGTGGGTTGTTCAGTGACTGGGCTGTAAGGCCTAGGTATGGTTACAACCTACCACGTGACATGACACGATGAAACTGTGAGGAGCGGACGGTGGTGCTGTCTACGACGTGCCCAGCATCGTTTTGGACGGCAGGAAGCTCCGATGTTTCTTCGTTACACACAAGGTAGGTCACCAAAGTTAATTGAATCGATACAGTGAAATGATATTTTTTCGTACATAATGAGTTCATGTTTGTCATTGTTCGCAGTGCTAGAGATTTTTTCACTATAATTATTTAAGGAATTGATCAACAAAAGCTTCTTTTCGTGCGAATGTGCATGCACGTTATAGGTACTTTAACTGTTATTTGTAGGGCTCTATTTAATTACACAACACAGGTACACCATCATTTTAAGTATGAAAGTTAGTTACAAGGGAGAAATTCTCTTGCTGACTTGTTTCCTTATTAAAATACAGTGAAACGCAGAAATATGTCTTGATGAGGTGTAAAGTATTTGAGTCAGTGAAGAGAGAATACGAGAACTAAAATTTATTAGAGCATAGACGTGTATGAAACAGTTTGTAGTGCAAAGCAATACAGCCACATCCTGTGAACAGGTGTAAAGAGATCACGAGATCTGGTAAAAGGATTGAACATGAAACGGGCTTTTTAAGACGTGAAGACATGTTTTTTATGACTTGAAACTTGTGACTTTTTGTTGCCCTTTCTTTCCTTTTTTGTGGCAGTAATAATATGAAGAACCTTCGACGTTTTCGTTTTAAATTTCCATATTTCTAAAGCATGATGTCATTTGAGGCAGAAAAGTTGTGGCCTCATAGCTCTGTGTAGAACATTTAATCATACTTTTTGATATTTTCTTGAAGCAAGTTAAATGTTTTTACTCGTTTATGTAGCTCGTTTAGATAATTATAATGGCCAACATTTTCTTGTAAACTTTATTGGGGAGCAATTATGAAGCAAGACTTTTAAAAAACCGTTTCTTATGCTCTTTGACATGAAGTGTGACAAAAGAAAAACAACGCCCCCTAAAAATGTACTGGTGGAGGGATTTTCTAAGAATGGAAAGCAACCAGTTTCTTTTCACTTTTCAGGAGAAGAAATATTCAGATCTCATTTATATTGTGACACGAGGTATTGTGTGAGAAAACAAGTTGAGCTGAATATCAAACTTCTCGTTTCTTTTAAGTCGCTAGTCTGGTGTTAACCGGCGCGTATCGACCCCCTCTGTTATTCGAAACCTGTTAAATTGTTTTTTTTTATATGTTTGGGTTTCACGACATGCCATCGTGAGTCAGTTATAAAGTTTTAACGGATATTTTTGTCCACATTCTTCAGGAAAGTTTACTCAACTTCGAACAACAATGACGTGGGAAATGGCGGTTTTCATCTTCTATCTGATTCTTGTGCGGACGCTGACGGCGCCGCAGGGTACGCAGGACATGGGTCCCATCGAGACCATCTCGACCGGTCGCATCTTAGGCAAGCGGATGACAGTCCTCGACAAGACGGTGGACGCTTTCCTGGGGATACCGTACGGTGAATCTCCGGTTGGAGAGTTACGGTTCCGGAAGCCCCTACCGCGGACAAGTTGGGATGGCATTTATAACGCCACCACGTACGGCTTTGGTTGCTTCCAGGCCCCTGACGAAGAGTTTAAAGATTTCGAAGGTTCGGAGATGTGGAATCCTAATGTAGGCTTGGACGAGGATTGCTTGAATCTGAACGTCTGGGTACCTCACCCTCGTCCTGTCAACTCCTCAGTCTTGGTTTGGATTTTTGGTGGAAGTTTCCTTTCCGGGGTCGCGTCCCTGGACGTCTACGACGGTAAGACATTGGCAGCAGAGGAGGGTTTGGTCGTTGTATCAATGAACTTTCGGCTGGCTGCCTTGGGCTTTCTTGCTATGGATGACCCTACCGCTCCAGGAAATCAAGCCCTTTGGGACCAAGCCCTAGCCCTGAAATGGGTGCAAAAGAACATCCACATCTTTGGAGGGGATCCAGATCAAGTGACGTTATTCGGAGAGAGTTCCGGCGCAGCGAGTATCGCTTTCCATGTGATCTCGCCAGAGAGTATGAACCTGTTTCGACGGGTGGCCCTTCAGAGCGCCTCGGCCTTAACTCCCTGGGCGTACTACACCATGGAAGAGGGACGCCGACGGGGACTTATGTTGGCTGAGAAACTGAAATGTGTGGAGGATCAGAGCGGTCAAACACTGACCACGACTCAAATGGTGGACTGCATGCGGACCAGAGATCCACTGGAGATTATCAGATGGCAATGGGTCACTCTCGACTTTGCTGATTTCCCATTTGTCCCGGTGGTGGACGGGGACTTCGTACGTGAGCGCCCCCAATCGGCAATGGAGCGAGGAGAATTCAAGAACTGTGAGGTTCTCATAGGCAGCAACACAAACGAGGGAATATTTTTCATGGTATACGAAGTACCTGGCTATTCCAAGTTCTCGCATAGCCCTCTGAATCGAGACCAGTACACGAAAGCCATAAAATACTGTTTCCCAAAGGCAAACACATTTGGATTCAATGCCATAGAATTTGAGTACTTTCCTTGGTTGAGTCCCACTGACCCTGTAGCTCTGCGAGACGCTGTCGAACTGGCCGCGGGCGATTACCTCTTCGGGTGCCCGTCCTACGAGATGGCCGTAGCCGCTGCCTCGGCCCACAACCCTGTGTACTTCTACCGGTTCACGGATCGGGCTTCGAACAACCCTTGGCCGGAATGGATGGGCGTGTTACACGGGGATGAGATCATGTACATCTTCGGCATTCCCCTCCATCCAGAGTTTGGCTACAACAGCGCTGAAGCCGAGCTTAGCCGAAAAATGATGACATACTGGGCCAACTTTGCAAGAACTGGGTAAGATATACAAATATCAGATTAGTGACCCGACCTCATACATATATAACAACAGCCAATGCCGCGCTCAAGTACGCCCTCACCGATGACAGAGAGACCGAACCGATACTTGAACGAGCCTGCGCATTTACAACATTATTGCGTGTGTTCGGCACCACAGTCGATGTGCGAAAAACAGACGTTGATCGTTGTCAAGTGACAAATCTTCCAAGACACTTAAAAATGTAAAAATCTATAACAGTAATGGATGTAAAATATATTTTAAGTATGCTACGTTCTCAAAAGAGTAACATAATTGTGCATGTTTTGGTGCCATAGTCAAGTTCAAAGAGGATATAATGCCGGCAGTCGTTCCAGTTTATGGCCATGTGACGTGCACTTTAGTTTGGCTATTTCGGTGTGACTTGGATTGTACCCAAGCCTTTCATTAAACTGCCATCACGTGATGCACACTTTGGTTTTCTCTCGAAAGGCCAGAATGCTTATTGGAAAGGTCATCTACGTCACTAACTCTCCAGGTAACAGATAATCGTAAGAATCGAAATGACGGTTACCTTTGGTGACCTTTCCAATCATGCAAAAACTGGCCGATGAGGCTTCGGTATCGATTTGCCAAGGTTATGGTTAGTTAGTGAGAGCGGGGCAAGAAAGCGCGGGAAACGTTCACAACCAAACCCTATACACGCGCCAAAATCAATACAGTGGGCTTGGATCTTTTCGTGATGAGGTAGAGTGGTTAATGGTTTGGACAGCGTAAGAGAGAATCTTAAAGGTTGAATACGTCTGGACGAGCAGAAAACACATTTTTTGCACTTCATGGGGCACAAAGTTAATAGTGGATCACTGTCAAAAGGTCATTGCATAACAACGGTTGAATTTTCAGACGTGTGTAGCAGTGATCATTAGTGAATACCTTGGTGGTTAAAGACGCATTACAGTACCCATTTGGGCGAAAGACTTCCCGCATTAACTGTAACGTTGTAAAATACACAACATAACTTAAGGGGTAAAACAGTGATCCATTCGCTAATGCTGAAACTTAGAAAGCAGTATCAAGAATGTTAATACTAAAATGCAATATTTCACTAACGTTGCGTAGGTTTCCATTTTGCCCTTCATTATGTAATGCAATATGCACCACCGTAGCATTGCTTGTTATTTTTATTCAATTTATCTTCTTTTTCTCTAACTTCTAGAAACCCAAACAAAGCCAATGAGGATGATCCAGAAGGAGACTGGCCACTCTACACTCTCGAGACCCAAGAGTTCTTCACTCTAAATAAAAGTATCATCAACGGTGACGTCTTCATTGGGCGAGGCCCACGAGCCAAGCAATGCGCTTTCTGGAGGGAGTATCTCCCAACGCTCGTCACACAAACAGGTATAGATGAGGCAGAGCCCGCCCTCTCGCGGTGTTACGCCTTCACACGGAGTGCAAAACCAAACTGACAAAATCCTTGTCAAAATGAATGTTAGAATTACAGACCATTCAGGCATCGGATCAATTGCCTAACTGTCTTTATGCTAGATAGGGGAGGTTTATCGATGGTCAAGGAACGATATCGAAGATTCGGGTTGGGAGGGGAACGGTAAACAACGCGGACCTATTAAAACATCTTGTAGGCCTATCCTTTCAATGAAAACTCCCGTTTTATGGATGTTTTTTAACGTTTTCCTTAATTAAAGGTGACATCAGCGAAGCAGAGAGGAAATGGAAACAACAATTCAACGACTGGAGTACCAAGTACATGGTGAACTGGAAAGCGGAATTCGATAATTACATCAATGGCAAACAGTGCGAAGGCAAGGGATATTAATTGAAGCTGAAGAATTCAAAACCAAACAGTGTGCACAGGGGATCGGCTGGCAATACCAAAACAGAATATCAGATTTCAGGCCAGAAATTGTGAATGTTGGTAATATTTCATGGTCTGAAGTATACGTACATCACTTTTTACAATTAACCCAATTTGTCTTGATACATAATTAATACTCTTGCAAGTTATGTCATTCAGGTCACTGAGAATAAAAATGGCGGCTTCCGACTGCGCATTCTCAGCTCAGCGACTATTTTCGCTACGTCCATTCGACAATTTTTACATAAAGGTACTTTTAAACGAGATGTGCAGAGAAAACAAAATCATACGACACACTGTGGTTGAAATACTAATAGACCCTATTATGTGTTTACGTGGATCTTGCACTAATCGCGTTGTTTTCAAGATTCCCCTAGCGAGTTTCCATAGCAATATGATGTCAGTGCCGAAAGGTTATAGTGGCGTGCACATTTGGCTCCAAAGGATGCAGGTCGATGTGAGATCGAATGGGCCATTGTAGTCAAAGAAAGAGAGCTAGTTTTGTCCTCTGTCCGGTTGGTCTCCATGACTGTTTAAGCAAGAATAGTGGGGATATCAAGACGCAACAGCACCCTCTTCCGATTCAACGAGCATACACATTTTTCTTATTTACGTAGCCAATGTTCAAATAAATGTGACACAAGAGCCATGACAATAGCTTTAATTCGATGTATACACCAATGAGAAATACTTCAAAGTTTGCGAGCACCGTGTTTTTAAGTCTCAGGCTTGAAAAGAAATCACGACCTGTTTAGATTTTGGCTTTCCTTATAAAACCATTGTGATGTTCGCGAAGTTAGACTTCAACTCAGCATGTTCAACGAGGTGTGTGTGCAGTGCCACTGCCGATTAGTTTGGATAAAGATGCCATATGGGTTTGTTTTAAGTGGAATTACACTACACGACATCTCCATTTTTTCTACCACAATTTTGGTGCCATTTTAAGCCATTCGTTAGAAAATTTCAGAAAAATTCAGATTTTGTACAAACTTGAACAAATGCTTTACGAATGTTCTACGAAACAGTTTCAGACATTTGAATGTTATAATTTGTAACATGCACTTTATTGATTGTTTACACTTTATAAGCATAACATAGCGTATCCTGTTTATTATGCTGCTATGGATGCACTGAGGAAAGCAGTAGTCTTTCTCGTGTCGCCAAAGCACTTTACAAGTTGTAAAATAAGCAACATCAGAATCTATAATTGTACAGTAGAGTAGTTTCACCGTAAATAATTTTACATACATTTTGTAAATTTTGTACACAAAGGTAGTATTGTATATGATGACTACAGTAAAAAGCGTTCATTTTACACTTCTTGTGATAAAATTATTTACAGCACAGCTACCCCATTTTTATGTGTTAGATTGAAGCAATAATGAGTGTTTGAGTGTCATTTTTATCTTGTAAATATCGATGACTGAGTGCTCGAGATTGGAATGTTCGAAAGATTTATTTCTCGTAGGGATGGGCGTGGCAGGGAAGGGGAGGAGGGCGGTGGTACTTTCTGTAACGCGTTAGTTTATTTGAGAAGCCGTGTTATTATCCAAGTTGATAACGGCTTGATGACATTAAAGCGTTTCAATAGTTACTTTATATTGCAGATAAATTCAAGGAAAATAATACTGGTTTGACTGTATTTCTCACAGGACATATAAAGACAAATCACTTCATGATGTAAATCACAATTAGTTTCATATTGCAGCATTTAACCGTCAATAGTAAAATGGCCATAAGCCTATTTTGGAACACGGCAGAACCTCGAAAAGTAGGATAAGTAGATTCAAGATTTGTTGTGATGCGGACGCTTTGGTGAAAAAATTAAACCATGAAGTAGTTCTGCTCTGTACTTAATCTTTTTCCGATAATTCTCAAGGTTACAACCAATAACTGCACTGTATCGTAACTGGACCTGGATAATCTCACACTGTACAGTAGGTACATTAGGTCACAATATGACAGATATATAACTACTCATGTAAAGTGCGTTGTTATTCAAGTTATAAGTATGTTGTAAATTTATGCATTCTTTAGCGATGTTGATATATTATACTCGATCGTGAATATGTTGTAGTAACATTTTATTGACATGGTTGATACCTGATTACGCAAATGATGGAGCAATAAGTTTAAGCTGACTGGTCTGCCCCTTGCTGGTTCTGCCAGAGGTCTAGTCCCTGTTGTGATGGTGTAATAGCTTCTAGCCTTGATGAACGAAGATGGTAGGCTTAGATCGGTAGCAAAATAGTGACTGTCACATGGAATTCAAATTTTCGAACAAAAAGAGGGCGCCATGTTTAGCAACCTGCCCACTTACCTGTAGTACGCCTAATGCGTATTTATTAAACACAATTACTATTATTGTGCCAATCTTTCTTGTATCACGTGATATAATCACTCATAATCAGCAGTTTGAGCCTGTTCTGGTGGTTCCTGAGGATGTTGCAGAAATAAATTACACTTCAAACGTTCAAAGGATTTGAATTGCCGTTGCATAATATTGAGAGAGGATGAAAATGTCTACCGATGGGGACCACAGATAGGGACTGTCATAGGGACTTCCCGCGATGGTGGCAACAACACGTTTTATATCACGCCATTCTGAGTTTGCCTTCTAGGTTAAATATTTCAAGACGAGATTGAGAATTTTTTTGACAGTTCACATACCTAGCCACGCTCGGTAGGTTTTTGGATCATAAGTTAATTTTATGTTGCTGTGCCATCAATCACTAATGTTAAACATGATACATCAATTTAAAAAAGCTCGGTAGAGACATAACTACAAGTAACAAATGAGCAAGACAATATTATTTTAGAAAAAGATTAGAATGCTCTATTAAAACAACAACAACAACAACAACAAGAACAACAAGAACAACAACAACAACAACAAGAACAACAAGAACAACAACAACAAGAACAACAACAACAACAACAACAACAACAAGAACAACAACAACAACAACAACAAGAACAACAACAACAACATCTCTGAACAGTATTTCTTCTAGAATCTGACCCAAACGATAAGCGTAGTGCGCCGGATAGCTGGAACAGCCGTTGAATTTTTAGCATACAGTGTTTTATTTTTTGGAAGCAAGCGTGCAAGACAAGACAAATTTCAGTCGTTTATTGCTTATTCTATTAGAACTAGACCAAGGCCAGACTTTGAAAAAACTACAAATTCGGCCAATTATTCAACCCACAACCAGCTGATATAAATGATAGAATATAGAGTGAAATCTATAGCTGTAGCGTGCATTGAATCTCAGTTTACGATACCAAAAGCCACTTTAATGGAGGGGAGTGCTTTTTTATGTTAACGGTTCAATTAATTAAGAGTGGATTATAAATTTGTTGCACCTGACATTTGCCAATAAATCGAATTTCCTGTAATAGTCTTGGAAATCTAAATTTCTAAGAAACCTCCTTTGATATTCCTTCCGTAGGTCTCAACGGTCAAGTGAACAAACAATGTTCATATGCTGTTCAGCCTGCTTTAATTACCAAGGCTCCTCTCGTCTCGCGCCTGGGCAAGGTCTCGTAATTGGCGGGGAAGGTCAAACAATATTTCGTTAAAACTGTCATGCCTCAGAGGACTGTCCCGTAACAGGTTTGGGCACTCCAGGCGTCGCATGGAGGCAACCACTGTCTCATCGTGGTTGAACACCAGGTAAACAATCGCATTTCATCTGGTCAAGGTGTATTGATGTTGAATAGGGCAAGGGATATTATGGCAAAGGGTAAGCCAGAAATATATCCTATGCCGGCGGGGAGGTTAGACGATAATGTCATTCAGGGTTTCAGGAGGAAGCCAACGTTGCTCCTTTATGAAAGCCTAGAATCTTGTCATTTATTGCATCATTGTAAGGGTAAGAAGATGTAACAGGTTAAATTAAACACGTATTTCACAAAACCACAGCTACCTTAATTTCTAAATAGGCCTACATCTTTCAATTTGGGCATTCTGATCATTATCTTTTTTGTAAGTATTTTCTTTTCTTATTCAAATTAGGCTTCATGCTGAGGCAATCTCTCCGTCACCCAGCATATTGTTTGAAATTTAAATTAGGGTTGAAAACATAAACACTGTCGACGAGTGATCAGCGTAACACTAACCCCCACACAAGTGACCGTCATCGCTCGAGGTTGATGTTGTGGTGCCCTCTATTGCCATTCACTATCCAGCCGCAACCAGGTGATTTAGAGCAAACGCGAAGAGCGGAACAAGCAATTTCAATTACTGGTTCTTCAGATTTCCTCCCTTCCCCCTTTTTTTCCACACAGCCCCTAATTGATATCTTAGCCATTCATCTGTCATCGTCCTAGAGATCAGACCGCGAATTCTCCATGGTCTTCTGCCGTTGTTCACACCGCTTTAGACGGGATCAAATCCCCAGGGTATCTGCCTCGCCGCCCAGGGGCGAATAAATCAGAAATGTTGCACGAGCGCGGAGAAATCTAAACGCCAGAACTCGTAATTCTGTCAACTTGGATGAGATTAAACAAATCTTCGGTTGCTAAGAGTTTTTTCTTTTGTAATAAAACACCGGCACTATTTAAATAGGATTTCGCTTTTTCGGTGGAGGTTGCTTTAATTTCTAAGTAATTTATGTCGTCGCGTTTTGAGCTTAGACTAGGGCTTGACTGTCAAAGCAAGGCAGATCAGACTGCTCTCTTGGAAACTAATGAATTTGAGAAATACATACAATAAAAAAATTAATAATAATAATCAAAAATCATTTATGGGTAAATAATTACCCTTTAATAATTACAACTGTTTTATCAACAGCTACTGAGATCACTGAAGAGGTTTTCGGTTATTTTGGAAAGTGAGCCGTTTCAACAATGTCTTTCAGTCAAATGTTAATTTAAACTTCTTCATTGATACATCCGATTTGTAGCGGTACAATACTCCTTTACAACCAATGCAATTGTGTGCAGATAGCAAATACAACATTTTTACGCCGATTTGGTTGTAATGAATATACCGAAACGATGAAAGGGAACTGTGGGGAATTGGCCCAGATGACGCACCAACACCAGAGGGCTCACTTTCGATCACTTTCACGTTTCATTTAATTAGCAAAGTGCGTCAACAGACTGCCTCTTTAAAGGCCGTGTTATGGGATCGATTTCATCTGAGCGCTAAATCAAAGGATGCTATAGGTGTTTCGGTGACCTGTCAAAAACGAGCTACCCTAGGGCCCCAATTTCACGGACAAACTGAACCAGCCACTGTGTTACAATCACAACCAAAGAAGGTCACGAACCGAAAATGTATACCTTAGCCGTGGACCGTACATGCAACTTGTAAGTACCCACACGGGGCCGGCGCAGTTTCAGACTTCATTTAGCTGGACTGATCAATTCATCAATCTGTTCCAAGGTGGGTGGGTATACACAGCGGAGCTGCACGGCTCTCTCTCATCGGTGACACTGGCTCAAATCACCCGGGAGGGTTTGGCATCTGTGCCCACTCCATCCACATGCAGGCACGCTCATATCGGTGACAGGATGTACACGTTTTGCAATTGAAGGAAACGACTGTCTACAAAGCGCTCCTGTTATCGTACAATCTCACTGGGTTATGTAAAGGGAATATCGAAGACTAGATTTCAGACAGATAAGGGAGTGGCTGTACTTTTGGTGACTGATCCTTTCGACGATTGCTTTCAACTTGTAGGTTTGTGTAAACCTGTGCTTACACCTACCTGTGTGATGTTGAAATGAAAGGATGCTCTCACGTGTGAAGCTCACAAAGCGTAATGAACAGAATTTGAATCAGCTGAAACGCATCGGACAGTTGTAGGGTTTCCAGCAGTGCAATATAAGGTAAGAACTTGATTTGGTTTCAAATAAACTTCTAGCAAAGCAAATGGTAAACTCTCATGGCATGATATCGGTATCGTGCGGTTCTCGGTGTTGATATAAGCAGGGTCTAGAAGATTGGCTTTGAGTAATTAATTTCTTATTGTTGCTGAGAAACGATCAGTAATTCTCTTGATTCTGGACCACTCAAGCAACCGTGCTACCTATTTTTCCAGGTATTTTGCTGCAATATTGCTCCAGTCAAGCTTGAGAACGTCATCAATGACATCATTAAAAACCTTGGAAAAGCTTCCAGTGGGCTTCCGGAAGCATTCTGCTGTTCTGTAATTCCTATGAACACACGAATACATCGATGACTAACGGGTGAGAAAGTGCAACTTGATCGCGGTATGTTTAGATAATAAACATGGTCGAATAACAAACATGCGCAGAGCGCTTGAGTAATTTGTGTAAATCATGCATCGCGGAGGGCCAACGTGAGCCTGGTCAAGCTTTGTACTCGTGCTGGGCTTGTTCTCGTTTGCTATCTTATTCTTTTTGGTCAACGTTCTGCTCCTCTCGGCTGGCAATTTTCAGGAATCAAGGGACGGTTCCCGATTTGACGTCATTTCTAGTCGTCGATCTTATGGATTGCGACAACTGTTCAGCACTAATTCCTAACCCACCAGTTCTAATTTTTGTTTGAATGCGATTGTTTCCCTCCTGCATCATAATGTTTGTCAGAACGGTACGTAACGACCTAAACGTCAATGACAGACTGTATCGTTATTGATTTCTGTGCTATGTGCCGCTCTCTGGATGAAGTCTAATACCCTATTAACTATCTCGTAAAACCGGGCACACGATATAAATCATTCCTTGACTTGGTTCAGATTGGTTCTAATCGCTCGGCAGATGGTAAGTTTTACTGTGCTTTCCAAACATTGACACTCTACAATCCCTTGAAATGGTGTACTAGTGGCATTTTTTGTTTCCATGCACCTCTGAAGTGCCATTCACGGAGACCCGATTTCCATGGGGACGCCGAAGAGCTAGTATTCTGACCCCATTGAGTATGAAGTAGGAATGCACCAAAGCTTACCCTATAGCCAGTCCGGGGGATCTGAACTTTGATCCTTCATCAAAATCTCGCATCAAACCCGTCATATCCCTCCGATATTTTTGATTAATTATCCCAAACCTGGACAGAACCTACTTCATGCAGCTGTCAACCGATCAAAATGAAGCTGAAGACGACAAGAGAAACCCTCAGTCCTCATCCAAATGTTTTCTGCTTCTAATTAGAAAAGTCATACCTGTTAATAAAATTCTTTGCTATTGGAATGGAAGGGGAATATTTGCTGCTGAGGATGGCCAACAGTTCAAAGACATTCATAGGCATATGCGGCGTAACTGTCGAAGGGACTCGTGCAGCACTTCATCATCAGTCAATGGTCTTGCCAAGGCTGAGGTAGGCTAAAAATAACTGAAGTGTGGTAACTAACCGAATGTTATTTCTGACAGGAAGTGAACTTCCTTACGTGTGGATATGGGGCATTTAATTGGACTATTCTTGGGCTCGTGCACAAGAATACGAGACTGATGTACTGTACTTGTAAAATGTTTTCTCTGTAATACAACAGCCTGTATATGAGTCATGAGATTTGACGATTAAGCAAGACAAAATTTGGCAAAAACTAACGAATTGCTCATTTCCTGTTATCATTGTTTGGGAACTTGAAAAGCGCTCCCCTCTTTTGTCTTTAAGATAAGTAAACTGTTGTAATAGGTCGCTACAGTTACAAAGGAGGGTGAGACTATTTCAAAATAAAAATGATTTTGATATTGTGAAAATGCACCGTATTGGTGACACAAAAGGGGAAAAGCATCGGCATCAACGTATTGATTTGGGATGGGATGAGGATTCTGTATGATAATTAAGAAGCAACTGATATATTCTGGCGGAATTCTAACACCTGATACCCGTTTGTTGTGTAATCAATATGTGCTCCGAATGTTATCGATACCACCTGTCAATGCTATACGTCATCGATACCACGCGCCAATGACACCAAACAGATGACATTGCATCATGTAGTTCGATTCGTTTTGGTATATCTTAAACGTGCACCTCTGTTTTGAAATTCTTGCATCTCAATTGTCAAAGTGGTTGTGCGAATGCTGTAAAATCCCTAAGAGCTCACATAAATTTATGGTCTGTCTTGGACAAATATAAACTGCTTCAAATGTCAGATGTTAAAGCAGTTAATCAAAAATGTTCTACTTAGAGCACACAGAGGTATTGTTTGGACATCTGTTAGTAGACACAACATCATAAATCATACACGAATATACACAAATGTATAAGTTTACAATCAATTGAAAATGAAGACATTTGTAAAGAAGAATTTCCTTGTAAGCACAAATTAAAAACTGCAAGACGACTGCAAGTCTGCAGATTTTAGATGGCCAGTTTGTTTCCTAGTTGTATGATTTGCACGAGCGACTTGCACGCTATAAACCTATCACGACATTCGCAGACATGCGAATGTTCCGTATCCGTGCCACGTCTTTAAAAAAATTTGCTAGTAATTTTCTGGCAGGAGAATTCATCAGCGTTGTCGGGGCGCACTCAAAGACGGTCAATAGATTCTGGAATTTAGTGGGGACAAGGGAAAATGAACAAATGAACCTTCTCACGAGTCAGAATAAGAGAAATAGCACCCAGTATACACAGCATATCGCCTCTATCGGATAATACATCACAAACTGCATGAGGTAAACCAATCCAAATTATTACTTTTCAGGACCATACCGTGTTACGTGAATAAGTTTTCAACATGTTGGGTGAAATTCAAAGCGAACTTGACGGCCGTATGAGGGCGCTAGAGCGAAGGGCACTACTCAGTGGTGTGTGCAACAGATCGACATTTTAAAGTGTTAGGTTTCGTGTACCATTTGAAGTGACTCCACTGTTATGCTAATTGATACTGCCAAGTTCTGCAAATTATGTTGACTCGATGAAATTCGATATTTATATGAAATCCATATTCGGTGGTTAAGCCTGGACTGAAGGTAACCCTTTTTGCGCAGGCAGCACGAGACCTCGTTGATTATGATATCCGGCCATTTGTCTGCGGGTCACTATGCTTGCTTTGTTTTGGAACACGTAATAAACCTGGCTATGGTGCCCTTTTAAAAAAGGTTTCCCAGTTGTTTTAGTCACAAATTAAGCCCGAAGGCTTCATCTACTTTTTATGCACCGAGGGCAGCCATACATAACATGGTATAGGCATCTCTACTTCATGTCGGGGTTACCGCTTTGTGATCACTTCTCAAGCTAGAGCCCATAATAAATATTCATTGTATAATACACACTGGACAGCAAAAGAAACTTGCCACCTCTGTCTAAGGCCACACATAAAAATTCACTCCATACAAATAAACTATTTTTGTACATAGGTATGCTCCAATACCCCTTACTAATCACATTCCCAAAAGCAAGTGATTATCTTTATAACAAAGAAGAAATTGACATGCAAGGCAACTTTGTTACTGAATGAAAAGTCACAAAATGTAACAGAATGAGCCTTAAGTTTTACGTAGAAATCAATGTCACAGGACGAAATAAAGAAGTCACAATCATTACTTTTCAATAATGTATATGCATAGTCAGTAAGGATGGCATCCCTATACAGAAACCACCCATGCACATCATTTTTACAAAACAGGTGTTCACTTTGTCATTGGTTGTTTAAAATGTTGTCCATTTATGGGTCATTTTTACTTGGTGGAGAGTGCTTTTGTGTGTGACTTTTGATTTAGTAACCAAGTTGCTGTGCATGTCAATTTCTTCTTTGTTATAAAGATAATGACTTGCTTTTGGGCATGTGATTAGTAAGGGGTATTGCAGCATACCCGTGTACAAAAATTGTTTATTTCTATGCAATGAATTTTTATGCGTGGCCTTTGACAGAAGTGGCAAGTTTCTTTTGCTGTCCAGTGCATATTCAAAATATTGAATAACCCCAACCCAGTGAGCCGTAACCGGCACGTGCTCAAGTCATTTTGAAGGGAGTTAGAGCATATATTAGGCGGTTCGGTTAAGCCATTTGCAGTTCAAGACTTGTCAGTGCGCGCCAGTAATGCCGAACTCTCTCCCGCGAGTTACACAACAATTTAAGCCGCCTGCCTGTGGATACCAACGGACCCAAACGCTCACCTAGATCTTTGTAAGTCGTTCCCGATTTTTCCTTTTCACATCTTGAACAACGATGGTAATACATGGACACGAATGTCGTGCTGAACGGAATGATCTACACCCCTTGTATACATTGTCTTTTGTAGACTTGGAGTCTTCCAAGATGAGCAGGTTTCACACAGTTAGTACATTGTGGATATTGTAATGCTGCCCTTAGGCGAGAAAATTTACTTGTAATTTCCCTTCGATATCAAAAAGTGAGGACACGATTAGTTTCTGCAGGAATACTACGAATTCAAGTTGGATCATGCTCAACGTACGAGGCTGACGAAAGCTACGAGCAACAATACTGGATGCTTGAGTGTACAACATACTTCATGAGAACGGGTTAGGGGCTTTATATTGATGGTTACAAGCGCGAAGACTGATACAAAATTACATCTAATAATGGAGCGCCATGTCAGCTACAATAATGCTGTACATTTACACACACCGCGGCCACCGGGCCGGTGAATAACAAACTCCCTTCAGTGAGGCAGCAACTGACTGAAGTAAATTTCCAGCCGAGTGATTTTACATATAGAGTAACCAAGTTCAACCTGTGGTTATACAAACAGCTAGGGAGTGTTGGTCTTTTATTGCAGGCAAATTCAGGGTAGGTCCCAAAGTAACATGTACTGCATGCTTTCAGCTGAATAAAGGTAAGCCAGTCCTTGGCCTTAGCAGGTGACGATTTTCAGCGCAGAAATTTGCAGACGTTTTACAATGTCCCCCCGGGTACGAGTGCTGTTGGAGTGCATTATTGGTGCGGTGTTAGAGGGTGCCTTCAAATGGTTTTGTATGCAGTCATGAATATTCGGAGTGGGAAATTCAAAATTTGGCAGATCTTTTAATAGGCTACTTGAATTTGCTGAAAACTGTAAGGTGGCGCGTTCTTCTTGCTTTGCCCCGGTCATGACATATCCTTCAATCAAGTTTCATTGTTGCAAGGAAACTGTCTGAATCTGTCAGTGACACAGGCAAGCCGTCACCACATGTAGGGCCCTCGAGCTGTATGGCTCAGCCTCGTCAGATCTTTCTCTCCCGTGCCATATTACCACGATGCTGATACACCCCGCGTCAAACCTCGCCATGAAATCGCCACTAATCCACGCATCTTTCGCTACTCGTCGTGTGCGAGTCCTAATTGCGAAAGCGACGATATCAGGCGGCTGAGGGGAAGCTAATGGGGGTCTCTGTGCTGGGGCAGCTCACTGAGGGACAGGTGCGAGGTGACGTGTTGTAAAGAGGTAGTTTGCTTAGACCGTCGTTCCTCCTGGAATGCTGATAAATTCGATGTAATCTTACCCAATATCTTCCTTTTGCTTGCACTCCAACTTAAAGGTGCCCCCGTCAAAAAAGTCTGCTTCACTGAAATTTTTTGTTGTTGTCCATGTTCGACTTTTAACAAGATGCAACATCGACTTGAATAAAGTCTAATCACAAGCGTGTGTTTGTAAACAAGAAAAATCGCTAAGCATAATGCTTACAAGCTCATACAAAATGCATGCGCCTTTTCGGCTGCCCAATATCGTGAGTGGAAAAGCGAGTAATGGTGCTTACGGGGTTCTGAGAGAGTGGTACTTCACTTTGCCGGAAGTGCCATTGACGATGCGCCCGTGCATATATCACTCTATGCATAGAGCCAGGCTAGGCATCGATTGGGACTTGTCCCATTCTGAGAAAATTGAAGTTTGAACATCAGTACATTAAAAAGCCAAATGCTGGTTTGTAATAAGCTGAGTGACTCGAAATCAAGTGATGACGGTTTCTTCAGATCGGCGTTCCAGGAAGTCGGGCGTCGTGGAAAGTAGCTAAAGGAGTGTGGTGATTCCGTCCTAAATTTAGCTCCATGTTCTTTCCAAAAACAAAAAGGTTAATTACAGGGAATTTTTACGGGAATCGGTGACCTCAGCCCTTGATCTTGATTTTGACTAATGGTCTAGTCATGTAGCGGACAGACAGGGAGGCATTTAGGCACTGGGCTGGTTTGTTCGCCTGTCGTAGTACCTTCTTCTATTCTGACTCTCCACAGTTTGTCATTCATGCACAATGTATTTACTTAGTTGTACTGTGCCTGCTTTACAAGCCTCTTCACTATCGGCCTTCTTGAATGAGGCACATTGTGTTTTTATTTATGGATAATTTCTTCACGATGAAAACAGAATAGAGGATTTTGTTACTAAGTCTTGAGTGGATTTGGATGGGTAAAGGGCAGCAAACCAAAGCCATCAGGTCTCATGCAAATAAGGTTTACCTCCAGATTTTCACTTGATCCACCTTTAAAACCGTCAACGAGAAAAGCTTCTAGAGTACCTGGGCATTGTGTATAGGCATCAAGGGAATAGTGACACGAGGGTATTGATCAGTGTATTTCTGCCCGAGGGGTGTTTATTGGTGTTGCCGCTCCAACCTGAATTCTGCCGACTGAGCGAAGGCGGCTTACCAAGGCACCGGATCAGCCGATCGATCAATATCGTCAGCAGCCTTGAAAAGCTTCCTCTCCTCGGGTGTGTTTTGCTGCTGCTGATGATGACCCGGTAAGCCACGCCGGCCTGCCCTGAGTGGAGTGTTACAGTAGGTAATAAAGTCATATCGCCCGGCGCTATATACAAATCAATTGGGTCAATATCTTCACAAGTGGTGTATAGACTACATCTGGTTATGTTGGGAAAGCCTATAACAGTTTTCTGAATCCCGCCGTTTTCTGATCGTTACGGACAGCGATGCAACCACCCTCTTGTAAGTTATGATGCAGTCTTCTGTTTTATCACCATACCAGCGTTATACACGTTCGTTGCTTTATTATGGCAATGCTATTCTATACTATTCTGGGGGATGGTTTCGCTGCTAGCCGCAATTAAACGCTCACTGTAATTACTGCTATACACGGGTGGAAGGTTTCCGGAAATTGCGGCTATAGGCCGGTAACTACGCGTTATTTGTACGTACACATCAGCTGGCTATGTTATCTTACGAGACGTTCGTGTTTTTCATTTATCGCTCTGTTTTTGTCATCAGTGAAACATTTGATGTTAAACATGTAGGCCTAAGATGACTTTTACATAAAAAGTGTAACAATAGCATTAACAGACGCTTCGGTAATTAAAACAGGTGGTCATAAATAAGTGTGTGTGACTAATTTAGTCCTTGACATAATGATGTTCTTATAAGCCAGAATAATTAAATTCATTTATGCCCAACCGTTTTGCGGATCAAACCAAGGGTATGTGTGTGTGTGGGGGGGGGGTAGATGTGTCTTCTTGTTAAGCCAGCCTTGTCCTTTTGTTGCTGTTTCTCCAGCTTCAACTGACCTACTACTTAAACTTGGAAGATGGGGTTAATGCTTTAATGGGGTTTCAAATACTATACGAAATCAGGAATCAGCCATTGTCGACCATTGTCGACCATTGTCGAGTGAGAGGTTGTCGAGGTTGGTCGGTGTAATCTTGTACACGTGACCTGATTATCTGTGAGTGTCTTGAAAATGACAGCTTGTGTTTCATGTTGCAGTCAAAAATTTAGCCTTAATTGTGATTCCACGGTTTTTGATAGCACAGCTAAGTAAAGCCATGATGAGTGCCCAATTGGTCAAAGAGGTACCAGACAACGTCTTGGATATAGAAACTAAGGCCGTGTTTCGGGTTTCCAGGGCTACGGCAAGGTTCATTGTCTACGTGTTTCCACGCATTTACAATGGAACGAAGACCTAGACCTAGTTCTAGACGAGAGATTCGGATGCAGCCTAAGTTCGCACAACCATGCCCATGCGCAAAGATAAAATCTTACCACAGACCTTGAATAATTCTCGACAAGGCTCGCCCTATGTTTCAACAGCGTTCGCTTGAAGCAATACCGGTACAGAAGAGTATTGCTCTGTGTACCAGTCGTGTAGATGTAGTTGGGGATCTGTTATTGCTTGTGAGTACGGGGAGCACATAGCCCACACGTACTATAAACACTGCCTAAGTAATGCTTACAGTAAAATGATTCCGGACAAATAACGGCACGTTACAGTCATTCTAACCTCAATATTATTGTACAAAATCAGAGGGTTATACTATGCAGTTAAAACAATGTGCTGTGCTGAAAATTTGAATAGATGACGTCCTCGTGTATGTAAAAGAAAAGGAGGCATTCAGCTTAATTTGTGACAAACCTGTCTGTTGAATTGGTGGGTTTGCCCCAAAGTTATCGTCTCGAATGTTTGGATGTATTCGGATATTCGGGTTTTGTTCCCAGAAGGTATTTGAGATGACTGGTATTGTTTGTCGACTCCCTGTCATCAAGGTTTGTAGCGTCCATTTCATTTCCACAGCTGTGCTCTCTCCTTGGATTGTAGAACACATGATGTTGGAGTAGCTAATTTGTTCGCCGAAGCCCATCATCTAGAGTAGTTTCACGTGTATTATACTCATGACATACTATACAGGAATGGATAAAATACCTGATTGATTGATACACGTCTATACCGATTTAATACTGGTACATTACTTTGCGAGGAAAAAGTTGTCCGACATTCGAATTCGAGGAGGCCTTGTGATAATGGTTTTGCTCGTACAAAGCTGGGGTTGGAGCTTTTGAAATCAGAAAGGTGCATTGCAGTTAATATTCAGTCAAAGGTAACAAGTTTTTCAATTCCAAATTCCACTGCTTTGGAAATAAGGCGTTTATTGTGTGTGTTTGCCGGTACAAGGACAACTTTTGTTGCTTCTGTTGGAAGTAAACTTAAATGGAGCCTCAGGGTCGGTTTCTTTAGAAAGTGGACCAAACACAGATCGACAAAACGTATTGTGCTGTACGGTGAGGAAGGTGTTGGAAAAGTACTGACGTTAAAAACGACTCACAGCACTGACAGTAAGGTCAAAACGTGATCGATGCCAGAATCTTGTCTTCGCTTTGATTGTACATGATTTGAAAACTTGCTACCGTGAATTCATAGTAGCTGTGATTTATAACTTCATTAGTGGCGTCACTGATCCTTACATTTACCCACAGCCCTGAAGGAAGTCTTTGTGGAGGGGTCCAGGTTTTCGCTTTGATGTTGAGTTTTGACATGGAACGCACGTAGGTTATTATTACAAAATTATCGTCTAACTATTTACGTGTATGCCTTACGCTAACACAACTGGCGTGCACTGTGCGTCTTGTGTCCTGTGCACTCCATTTCTGACAGCGTTCGTCAGTAAGTTTAAATTCTTAATTCCTGAATGACACTTTGATGAGGTTAAATTTCTCTGCAGCCAATGTGAAGGCTGTCTGACAGATGGACTTACAAGACAGTGTCTTGAAAACTTTAAGAGTCTAAGCATTCTTGAGGGGTCAGTATGTAAAGTTCGTGTATCTTCGTATCGGTTTTAACGTCTCCCGGCGAAAGGTCAGCGATTCCCAAACGGCGTGATCAATACCATCGTCTGCTTTACAAAACACCCTCAAGGTTGCTTGGTTTCCGACTCGTCTTGCGTGTGGCACTGACACTGAATTTGTCGAGAGACAAGACAGAGCTGATGAACTACACTCAGGCTAAACTTGGAGATTGATCAATTATTTATGTACATGGTATTTCTAGAATAACGTGTGTTAAAATACGATTTCGTGTCACCTCTCTGATATTCGGTTTCGATTATTGGTCTGTCAGATGGGGATTCACATCTTCTAAACGAGACTTCAATTTCTCAATTAATGGGTTAATATGACTAAAATGTGGTCCAGAGTAACGTCTGGTTATATATTTGGTTATTCCTTATCCTCTGAACGTGACTTTAATGTCACCGTCAATTTTTGGAGATTTACTTTTGCAAGAAAGAGAAATCAAAGAAACTATGAAATTACGCGTGTTTGAAAGCTTATATTAATTTTCCGTGTGTAGCACTCTAATTCTGTTGGTCTCAAATTAACTTCGCAGAATGATAAACTTCAAATCGGCAGCAATGGCGTCACGAGTCACCATCGCCATCCTCGTGGGTTTGTGGACATTGGCAATGTCACAAAACGTGGACAACCTTGGTCCCACGGAAGTCATCTCGACGGGTCGAATTCTGGGTAAGAGAATGTCTGTTCTTGGTAAGACGGTGGACGGCTTCTTCGGGATTCCGTACGGGAAGTCACCAGAGGGAAATCTGCGCTTCAAAAGCCCCCTGCCTCGCGAGCCGTGGAACGGTACCTACAACGCCACCACGCACGGGTTCGGATGCTTCCAAGTCCCAGACGAGAACTTCGAGGGATTCCATGGGTCAGAGATGTGGAACCCGAACGTTATGCTGAAGGAGGACTGCTTGAACCTGAACGTGTGGGTGCCTTACCCTAGGCCGACCAACGCTGCTGTCATGGTGTGGGTGTACGGTGGGTCTTACATTTCAGGTGTGGATTCCTTGGACGTCTACGATGGGAAGACGCTGGTCGCTGAGGAAGGCGTCATTGTGGTTTCCATGAATTACCGAGTAGGCGCGCTGGGATTCTTAGCCATGGATGACCCTAACGCTCCGGGAAATATGGGACTCAGGGACCAGACCTTGGCTTTACAGTGGGTGCAAGACAACATCGCAGTCTTCGGTGGGGATCCAGGCCAGGTTACTCTGTTCGGAGAGAGTGCTGGAGCTGCCAGTATCTCACTTCATATGATCTCCCCAGAGAGTATGCATCTCTTCAAGCGAGCGGCTCTAGAGAGCGCTGCCCTCAGCGTACCTTGGGGATACTACACGATGGAAGAGGGGATCCGTAGAGGTATGATACTAGCGAAGCAACTGCACTGCACCGAGGATACCATGGGTAACGTGCTCACCGTCCCACAGGTGATTGACTGTTTACGTAGTAGGGATGTGGTTCAAATCCTGACCTTCCAGTGGGTTACTTCAGACTATCTTGACTTCCCCTTTGTTCCTGTCGTGGACGGTAGCTTCCTAACAGAGCGGCCAGAGACGGCTCTCAAGCGGGGAGCGGTCAAGGACTGCGAGCTGCTAATTGGCAGTAACACAAACGAAGGCTCCTTCTTCCTGATCTACGAGGTGCCAGGGTTCTCCAAGGACACAGACAGCCTTCTGGACAAGGAAGCTTTCATAACGGCGATGAAGTACGCTTTCCCCCAAGCAAACTCCTTCGGGATGAAGGCACTGGAATACCAGTACACGCCTTGGCTGAACCCGGAAAACAGGTCACTCCTGCGAGACGCGATAGACAAAGCCACCGGGGATTACAACTTCATCTGCCCGACCTACGAGATGGCTTTGGGGTACGCTCGATTCGACCACCCGGTGTATTACTACCGCTTTACTGATCGGTCGTCCAATAACCCCTGGCCTGCCTGGATGGGTGTGCTTCACGCTGATGAGATCGCTTACATCTTCGGACTTCCTCTTCATCCGGAGCAAGGTTTCAACTCTCAGGAGGAGCAGCTGAGTCGAATGATGATGAGATACTGGGCCAACTTTGCCAAAACTGGGTAAGTGGAGCAAAATTGGAAAATTATTTAAATATTTAAGATTAATGAATCTGCCGAGTTAGAGATGTGTAACTTATGCCATCTCGAGCTGCAGCTCTGGAAATTTAATAGAAAGTGGATCCAAACTTCTTTTGCTACAGTTTCCTTTCTACATGTGTAGCCGTTTGGAATGAAATTGTGTTTGCGATCAAACATCAACAATCGTAAATTTGATTCTTTCTTACATCTCTGATCGTGACGGTTCAAAACAGCATTTGTCGAGAGTATAAGCTCCTTGACTGTGGGGGACATGTCACTGTGGTAAAACACCAGGAACTGGCATAAATCAATGGATGATAACATGAGGTTGACGGAAACTGACAAACGATAGCCCCCTCGATCTCAAGGCTCATTATCATGTTTGACTTTTTCTTACGACACGTAGCAATCCTAACGCCAACTCTGGGAGCGACTGGCCTCTTTACACTGTGGAACAACAGCAATTCTTCACATTGGACAAATCCATCATTGGCGGGGAATACTTGATTGGACGTGGTCCCTTTGCTCAAGCCTGTGCTTTCTGGAGGGAGTATTTCCCCACCCTGGTAACGCAGACAGGTACGTCAAGCAGACGGATAGATGCTATAACAGTCACACCCTCCATATAAGAAGGGAATGCCAACAGGTTTTCCTCTGGTTGTCAAATTCATGTTTTCATGATCCGACTTCTTGTATTTGCAGGTGACATTAGCGAGGCAGAGAGGATTTGGAAACAACAATTTAATGACTGGAGCACGAAGTACATGGTCAACTGGAAAGCAGAATTTGACAAATATGTCAACGGAAAGCAATGCGAGTAGAGACGGAGTTAATTCGCCTGGATGTACACTTTTTATACAGAAGAATTCCACAAAAATAGATTCATGTCCTGTTAATACCTTTTTCATGAACTGGTTTTAAGAGTTTGATTTACGTTGTTTGTGCTGTCGAAAGTGAAGGGTTTCTTTAAATTGTTTAATTTGTTTGTTTGCATTGCTGCTGCTGGTTTAGGAAGTATTGGTCTTTTTAAACTCAGTGTTTCAGTTGATTCATAATCGTTTGCAAACTTCTTTTCAAAGACTTTTCTACCTCGTGTTTAAAATATCTGAAGACTATCCCCAATGATTTTTAGTTTTATGGGGACTGACAGAGTAAACATCAATGTGAGTTTTTGTGTTCAAATATTTCGACCGTTGGCAAATTCTATCACCATGTTTCATTAGTCTTTCAGGAGTACGTGGTTAAAGCGCCCTCTTTGGACATTGTTGAGTGAAACAAGCATTGCGTTGATAGGATGAACAATACGGGATACAGTCTTAGGCTGCATCCAAATCTATTGTCTAGAGCTTGGTTTAGCTCTTCACTCCGTTGTAAAAGCGTGGAGACGCTTAAACAATAGACCAAGCCGTAGCCCTGGAAGCCCGTTTCGGACACGGCCTTAATCCATAATAAGTGAAATTATTACCGCTGTGGGAATAAAACTAAGTTGTTTTTATACAACGGAGCTATATTTGGTTATTATCTTGCATTTGTAAAGATTTTTCTCGAGTATTATTGATTTGTTGTCAATTATCTTAATTTCGTGTGTAATGGGTGATGGCATGGAAAAATAACTAATCATTTAGGTTGGATCTTTAAAATAAACTACCTGTAATCGTATTAAGCCCTAACTTTGTTGTCAGTGAAGTTTTGATATTACTTTGGTGTTCAGAGTAAAACCACTTGTAAATATGTCCAGTGACTAACCCATTCTTCCCCTTTCCTTAGGAAAATGTATCAAACGAATGTGTAACTTGGGGGTTGGGTATTGAAGGTATCAAAATGGACGCCAGGTGCAAAATGTCGGCTCAATCCATGTGCGCTCGAGGGAGCGCTACGACTACACGCGACTGCATCGGTCCACGGACGTGTATAATAAAATCTGGACTCGCATGCCTTTAATCAGCTTATAGAGTCACTGAATCCACTCGCGGCCATTTAACCGAGCTGAATACAAAGCTTTCCTGGTAATGCCCGCCTTTGTTCTTCCTGACGTCCATAGAAGGGAGCCAACCCACGCTTTTGTATTCGGCTCGGTAAAATGGCCGCTGGTTGGCTTCTTTTTTATACGAAGGCTTTGCAAGTCCAGGTTTTTTTTTATATACGTCCGTGCATCGGTCTCACTGTATCAGTCTGATGCCAAAGGAAAATCTATTTAAAAAAAACAGCAACTGGCAACACATCATCAGGGTTGGGTTTTATTTACAGTGGGTAGAAATTCAGCTCTTGTTTTATTCACAGGGCAAAAACTAAAACTAAGGAAAAAAGAAACAATGCAACGAATAAATGACATTGGAAATATCCAAGCGCCTATATAACTTTCATACTCTTATATACAGGTCCAAGGTTTACTTATGTAATATATAGGACTTCGAACTACAAAACAACTTTAATGATGTAGTATTGTTAAATGATTATAATTTTATGATCCTTGTTCTGGAAAATGGAAAGCAGATGTACAAGAAATGAGTAATTCGTCAAGGCGTAGCTCAAGTCCTGGGAGTGACTGAACAATTGCGGACCCAAAAATATGTGACAAAGAAAGATTTTGTTTACAAGACGAACCCCTTATTTTTTATTTAATGGAATGTTGGTAAATGTCACTCCATTGCTGATGAAAAATGCATATGAATTATATATTTTCCAACGAAGCCACTCCTTTAAATAGCACTTATTAGTTTTTTGCGCGATTTATTTACAACGAGTGCAATACATGTTTTACCTTTATTGACAGAACCATGGAAACTTATATAATTATTTTGAGAGAAACTCCTCAGAACGTGTAGGTTTTAGACACCAGAGAGTCTAACTACAAGCACACGTCCTTCTCCACAATTTGGCGGCATTCGTCACACGTGACGTAGCAGCACCAATTGTACTTGCAACGGCACTGTTCCGTGACTTCAGTAACCAGCGTCTCGTAGCCTCGTCCACAGCACATCAAGTCACAGCCTTCAGTACGTGGCGAGGTCCTATTACAAGTCCTACAAAGGGAAAAAATGAAATAGGTTAGTGCGCCCTCTTGTGGGCATTTGTGTTTGTTTCCTCTTCAGGAAAATGCATAATTACTAGGCAAGTTCGACGACAACAATTTGTCAACCAATGTTTCGATTTCACTGGGTATCCTGGATATAGTTTTGTGTACGGGTTACCAGGGATAGTGGTCGACAACAAATGATACTCGCTCGAACAAGGCCATATAGTTAAAGCTATACTGCCCAACCTTCCACGTGTGCCATAGGACCCAGCCTTGATGTTCTGTCTGCAGTAGTCAGGGGAGGCCGTCAGGTAGATCAAATCATACAGGGTGTAGTCCTTCAGCTGTGGATCTTTGGGGACCAGTTCACGTCTCACCACGGTGCGCCGGAAAGAAACTTCAGTTGCCCCAGAGTACTTCCGCTTTAGGGCCATTCCTACCGCCAAGAATAAACGATCTGGTTCAAATCCTGCCTCGAGCGAGCCTCACAATATGTTGGCTCTAACTGAGTAAGGGGTTCGTTTTGTAAACAAAATCTTTCTTTGTCACATATTTTCGGGTCCACAATTGTTCAGTCACTCCCAGGACTTAGGCTACGCCTTGACGAATTGCTCATTGCTTGGCACATCTGTTTTCAATTTTCCTGAACAGGGATCATAAAATAACAATCATTTAAACAATACTGCATCAGTAAGGACTACAAAAATTGTTGTCGTCAAATTTGATTTTTCGTTAGTTAGTTTTTATTTACTTCTAACCAGTTTTATCCTGATGTTTGACTTTAGAAACCCGCTTTATTTTCCGCTGACACTTCATAGTTTTAATTTTCACCGTTTTTGGCAAATTGAAAGGATAAGCAGTTGGTATAACACTTTTCCCCTTTTCATCAGCGGAATGAAAACACGAAACATATACCTTTTCAAGTAAATCGCAAATTTCTGCCTTTTTGAGCAAAACAAACAGAATTTGTCTTATATTGTTGTCTGCTAAAATATAAATTCTAGAATTCTAGAATAATCGGAGTCTAAAATTCATGAATTTAAAAATAATGATCATTCCACCTCTTAATCTCGACTTTTTGCGGTATACAGTACTCGCAGAAAATGTCAAACTAGCATTTCTTTCCGGCGACAGAGTCAGGCAGAATTACAAGAATGAAATTGTAAACTCTTTGCAGATTTCATTCTTTCCTCCGGGCAATATCTCTAGTATCCCAAGAAAGACACGACTTATTGTTCTCGTCTGTGTTTCAAATGTCACGTCCCATGCTGGCTGCGCCGGCGCGCTGGTTATTGTTCTACATGTCTGGTCTGCGAAAAATGAGAACGTGAGACATTGACGGATGACGCTTGAAACAGGAAGGGGGTCAAGACAGCTGGAGCCCGTAGGACCTGGAGACTCCGGTGAGTTTCCGTCGGCGCGCATCATTGACATCATCAAGAAAGTATAACTCCCCCCCCCATACTCGAGATATTTTCAACACCACTTCGGTTGCCATGCGGCTGTTTTTTCATTCGTGCATCCGTGCATAATTATTTCAGCATTTCGAAACCAGAAACTGCTAATTACTGCCAGGGGGTTGAACTACTGACTCAGATTCCAAGCTGGATTGGAATAAATATTCAGCGATTCCTCCCTCCATCTGTGTAAAATAACAGGACACCCTTTCATCCAGGATTGATAATCAGCGCTTCCAGTCTTTCACTAAAGCTTTTCCTACCTTGACAGCAATGCAATGGAAAGGGGGCGACAAACGTAGTCATAGGTACAGAACGTGACAAACTCGCGCCTGTGGACCAAACACTGAAGTCTGCTGCCACCAAGCGAGCAAGAATCGTCAAGGGTATTATTCAAGGGTATAATTGGTTCTCGTTGAGGGCAGCAGACTCATCTTGAGCAACCTTACCACAACATACTAGGGGATCATGTGTGTGGTATAACAAATATTTTGACTCATGAGGACGTACCTATTACAGAGATGTTGGGTAGGGCTTTCCAACAAGTCTTGAGGTTGCACGAGCCCGACACACCGTGACACTTGCATCTTCTCTTGATCGTCGACTCTATCAACTAATGCAAACAAAAACTCTTACTATTCACAGCTAAGATCAGTGTGACAGTTTCCGTTGCTTTGCCTCGTTGTGTTTCATGCACTGTAGGCATCTGTCAACTTGGAAGCTGACAAAAATACCAACCACAGCAACAGCATGTTGCAACATGTACAACAGCATAATCGGTATCGATGACTGAAGTGCAACCACTCATCACCAACAGCTTACCTTCAAGCCGGCATTGTTGTTGTGTAGGTTCAGCTTGGATCTCGGGTTGTCTCTGTTCCGATTGGTCAACAGAGGGCCGTTGGCAAATCTGGTAGTGAACTCAATCCCATAATCTACGTCATCGCTGCAGCCTCCCCACCGGAATGCCTCCTGGGGGTTGTTAGGGTGGGCTTCTTTGTCTTCCCCCAGCGGCAACTGACCACACCCACACCGGGACAGCATACCAGAGCTGCACTCTAAGGCCAAAGTTTGTGCGAGGCTAGCTGCTGATAGGGCTTGAACGAAAGCTGCTTCGCGGGTACCTGTGGGACCAAAAAAAAAAATTGAGGAAAAAGAGCTTTGCTAAATTGCAAGTCGATGATATGTAGTTCTTTTTGCCTTCTGAAAACAATGCATTTCACGATTAAGTTCACTAAAAGAGTATCAATTTTATTTTGGAAAAAAGCTGTAAAACAGCTGTAAAAACGAAACCTCTTAAAATCGTTATGATCATTATTATTTAGAGTTCTCTTTATCAACCTTTGTTCAGATCAGGAGTAAAGTTTGGCGCTGAGTTGATACTGCTACAGTTCCATCGTCGATCTTGAAATTGAAGTTGACAGGTGTCAAAGGTCACAGTGGTAGACTCGACCACAGCCGCCATGGCGTCAAGATTTCTCTTGCAAAGTGACTTCTGTGGGGAGACTAGTAGGCGGCTAGATTTACAGGCTGTCGCGTTGGTCCACACTGTGTTCTTGTTTTCCTTGGTCAACGCTCTACAAATAAAGTACGTTAAGAATGTACAGTCTTCTGCGTCAATAGCTGCACGTTGAATTATCTTCCCCACAAAGAATTTTAGGCGCATTGTTTCGGCTTTGATCCTCAACGGATTCATTATTGCCTCAACACCAGCTTCTATTGGCAGGAGTTTGTCACAGACTAGCAGTGGGGGGGGTGTAGGGGCAACTTTCCCCAAACGTATTTTTTTCAGAAAGAATACATTATAGGTAAGAGAGAAATCAGTTTATTTTTTTCTCAAATATTAGCACCAAAACACTAAGAAAAACTTGAAATAAAAGCAAGGATGTCGGTACCGGGAGTAAGGTATTCGATATATCTTCTCCTCGAACATCATGCTCAGAGATCCAACAGCTGCATTCGCTTTTGAATTTGCTCCCGCCCCCGACACCAATAGCTGGATAAGCCACTACAGACTAGATATCATAACCAACACAGGGATATATCAGCCACTCTCCTGAGGTATTTTGAAATTATTATCTACCTGTTTTCAAATGGATCAATTAATGTTGATTCAAGAAATCCATTTACAACCTATAATGAGTCTGTTATAAGTTATTACTTCTATTAAAGAAAATTGCATCTGTTTTCAAATCTTTAAAATTAGACAGGATTTTAAGGACCCAAGTAGCTTTAAAAAGGGTATTATTTCCCAACGCTTAGCAACTTTCTATGCAGTGCTTAGCACCGTTAATTGTGCAGTCGAGGTAATATAAGCTTGTTGTTTTTCTATAGCCTTTCACAAAACCCTACTTATCAAGTCTGGTACCCTGTGTGTTATTTACACAACTGAGGCAAGGTCTTCCGCTCAGGAATCTTAAAGGATTCCACCTTCGAGAACAAATTGTTCTCCAAAAAGCCTGACTGGTATGAGGAAGGCAATTAATTTTAAGGGACAACTTTAAGGGACAACTCGCCGCGTCTTTTAATTGCTTGTTTGACATTGGAAGACGGCTGAATAAGATATCTTCCAAGGGTCTTTGGCCTGCTCGGGAGTTTGTTGTTCAAGACTCAAACTTGGGGAGAAGATAACAAGTACAAGTTATGGAAGTCACCCAGGATTTATTTTCACAAAATTTGAAACGTTACAAAGTTGCAACGAATAATTCCAGAAGAGTCCACCGAATAAAATGAATCATTTTTATGAGGCATGGATGGAGCGCGTGCATCATGATTAATCGCTCGATAGCAATGAAACACTACATGCTTCAGACATAACTCCTTGATGGGTTTGTCATCGATTCTTACCCGATGGCTTGTAAACCAAGTCATTTGCTCATTGTCCCTGACACTTGGCGGCATCTTTACTTCTCCCAAATCCTCCCCTTCTTAGGAACTTCTTAGGAAGATGCCGCCAATTAGTATACTCTGTAAATCCCGGCACACGATTTAAAAAGTCCGTACATGGTATTAGATGTGTCTTCTGACAGGATGTAGTGGCTTTACCTTATCCAGTTTCTGGACTTCGACTTAAGGGGGGTGAGGCAGGGAGAGTGGTGAGTTTGTATCCTAATGAGCTCTTGTTTGGAGACAGAAGGACCACCGTGTGGTCTGTCAGCATAAGATTCATTGTTGAGGGGTTGCTTTCAATGCCCTTCTTACTGAGAGGTAAACTGGGCAGGTGTGGCGCTGTCATTTATCTGATTATCGTCAGCCAGACTGGTCCCTTTGTGCCCGTGGTTAAGTCATATCTCACGGTGTGGTAAACTGTTGCCTCCCGCTGAGTCTAACGGCTCCCGAGAGCCCGTCGTTTTTGGTGTGACTCTTTGAACGATATGACAGAAATTAACCTCAAGTAACCCTTGAGATGGCCAGTCAAATGACATCCGAATTGTTCCTGATTACAGCTCATAAAAGAGAGAAGTTCAACTACCCGCTGGTCCTAACTTTGGCGCTTCTAAAAAGTATGCTATACTTTCGGCTTGAAAAGGAGCCGTGCTTGAGTAATGGCCTTAAAAGGCTTAGGCATCATCATCGTGGATCTTGTATACGACGTCTAGACATTATACCAAGCTGTGTTCAATCGATCAGTGGAAAGTGGTCATAAAAACCCAGATCCTACTACAAGTGACTGAAAAATGTCTGTTTTTTTTTCAGTGTAATTGCCTGTTTTAGAGAATAACCTGATCCTGTACAGGTATGCAATGCATAAAAAAGCATCAACTAACAACACTTTTCTGAGTCGATTTAACATTTTGGGAGACTATATTCTAGCTTAATCGGTCCTGCCTTTCCTGATAAATCACTACAACAATCTTCAAATACAAATTTTTCAAAGTGATTTTCCACTTAACGGCAACAAAGCGTTGAATGAGCCATGCACCTTAAAAAAAACAGAAAATCGTCAAAAAATGATGATTTGAAAAGATGCATGTAATTAGTTGTTAATTTCTACCTGATACCAGTTTCATTAGATATGACGGGAAAAAATGGGAAAACTCGGTTAAACTTACATCCATTTCAGCCCATAGGCGTTGGGAGTGTAAGGGACGAATGAAACAAGTGCCACGGTCCAAAAGACGAATAGATCCCAACCAGAAATCATGATGTTGGTTCGCCGTGGTGCCATGGTCCAACTTCGGTTCGTACAAGTGCCGGCTACTCAGTTGGCCTAAATATCGAGTTGGACTCCGCGCCTGCTTTCGACCTGTTCAGGACATGATCTTTGTGGACTAATTAAGATGTTCGAATGGGGTAGAAACATGTCATGCAACCGCGCCGTGTTATTTTCCTCGGTCCATGACGACAAGTCATCGGTGTTATTCCGTAACAGAGTTTCTTGCGCCAATTAGAGAGTGATGTTCTAAGCTGCCTCGGACCGTGAAGAGGATGATGAGACCCTTAAAAACGCCCCAGAGGGCACAGACACCTAATTTGTGAGGCTAAAGAAAATGGTTCAAAAGGCCGGGCTATTTGGGTGTCCATTCAGTGGCAGGATTGTGTCCTGAGGACGATTGCAAGGGGGCGGTGGGAGTGATCTGAGATGATGGGGGTAAAGACGGCCCGATAACAATAGTTACTCTCATCAGATCAGTGTCGGCTCGTTCAGTCATGCGCACACAGTTGGCCAGATTAGGAGTGGTTACTAACTTTTTTTTTTAGATGAGCTAACCAGTTGCATCGTCTTTAACTGCTGAGCAAACAAAGGCACAAATTACCAGTAAAAATCCACGACTATAAACGACTATGAGCCAAGATCCCTGGGCATTATTGCTCTGAATTACTTTCCCGAACAATATTCTATTTTACTTAGAATTTGAAGTGTTTTTTCCGTATTATTCAACTTCTTTTGGGCTTCCAGAAAAAAAAGTAAAAGACGAAAAATCTGCCCCGATGAGGCACTGTTACTGTACACTCTCGATTACTGAAATAGTCGGGTGACTGGACGCAAGTAATATGGTATTATTCGTATTTCTTGCGTTAAATGACAAGCCTTGGTTGTTTGTTGCGTTCAGGGCAGAAATTTTGATCTCGGTCTCAGAAAACACTTATTTTCAGCCACAACCGCAAGCGTGTTATACCAGCAGCAATGTGCGTACTTACTGCGCGCGTAAAAAAAGCATTCTGACGTATTAGACACGTGCGTGGATGGTTAGACGCTCTGGAATGACAAGAAAGCACAGTGATTGGATGAAAAGTGTGGGTTTGACGCAGGTAATGACGTCAGAGTCAGACTTGGAAACGGTTGAAACTGCAGAAAGAATTGTAGAATTGTTGATAGAAATCCGAGACGGCACAAAGTTTTGAAAATTTCTCAGGGAGAAAGAGTTGCAAGGAAGATAGCGCTTGCACAAGGCAGACCGGTCTACATCCAAAGCTTGCCCAGAGTTGACATTGGATAGCTCCAACAGTTGTGGCAGCTCATTGTTAACTCCCACTGATCTGGAGTTCAGTATATCATGACTTTGGGAATGTGTGATAATGTAGACACAAAGGCTCCTGGCAGCAAAGAGAGGGACAGACCGCAGTCGGCTTTGGGCAATGCCTACGAGCGAATCCGGCAATTTGTCCGACCGAAAAGCAAACCAGGAAAACAAACTGAACCGAAAACGAAAGAGCATGAACCACAGAAGCAAGATGCTAAAAAAGGGACTCAGAAAATCTCCAATGGTGCAGGTAAGTTACGTGGTCTAGCACACGTCTGCGAAAGACAACGAAGTCTGAGAGAAGAGCAAACTAAGTCTGCCTCGGCATCCAAGAATCACCAGCCGATTGCTACGGCCAGAAGACCCACCGTGTCCCAACGTGGAAAGCTACCCGGGAAACGAAGGAGACGTCGGGCGTACGAGAGGGACGACTCCGAAGACTCCTCGAGCGATGACAGTGATGATGATAGAGTAGACAACCGTGATCTGTGGTTTCTAACGGGAAGGGGCATCGAGCTAGAGAAGAAACTTGGCCAGGGGACGTACGCCCAAGTTCACGCCGGCCGTCAACTTAAGCCCTTGCGCTCGGTGGCCGTCAAGATCATCTCACTGGAGAAGACCAACCAGCGATACCGCGTCAAGTTCCTACCGCGGGAAATAGAATTGCTTCGCAAGGTGGAGCACCCTAACGTCATCAAGCTTTTCATGATCCTCAAGTACGAGCACAAGGTGTTCTTCGTGACGGAGCTAGCTCAGAGGGGAGATCTGCTAGGCTACATCCAGCGCCATAAGGTCCTGAGCGTGCCCGTGGCTCGGACCATCTTCTCACAAATCCTGGCTGCCATCGAATATCTTCACCAGAATGGGATCTACCACCGAGACCTCAAGTGTGAGAACATTCTGCTTGATCCGGGTCATAAGGTCAAGTTGACGGATTTTGGATTTGCCAGGGAGTGGTATGAACCAAATGAGCTGTGCCGGACGTACTGTGGTAGCGCAGCCTACGCCTCGCCAGAGATTCTGCAAGGTTTACCTTATGAGCCTAGCACCGCAGATATATGGAGTATGGGGATAGTACTCTTTGTTATGGTATGTTACTGTCTCCTTCGATCAGAGGAATTAGATGTCGTTCCCTCGTCTCCCTGCTCAAACAAAATTATTTCACGATTAACAAGGAAAATGCTGTCCTTCCAAACACAGTTGGGTTTGTAAATATTATTTTATGCACCAAGTACGAGTACAGTACAAACTAAGCTGCCATATTGTGGCAGACGTGCAGTTTACCGCCTCATGATCTAATAATAGTCAGCTGGAGTTTTCTGCATCTGTTCTGTTCGCATTTTTCGTTAGGTGCAAGGCAGGATGCCGTTCGATGATACGAATGTCAAACAGATGGTGTCTGTCGTTCTCCGGTATGACGTCGGGTTCGTGAACAAGCGCCCTCTATGCAGCCCGCTGAAAGCGCTGATCAGGTCTATCCTTAACCACGACCAGTGGAAGCGTGCCACCATTGGACAGATCAGGAGAAGCCCTTGGCTGGAAAGCCCGACGAAAATCCCTTCCATTCAGTGAAATTTAAAAAAATGAACTTTGACATAGGAGGGACTGAACGACCAGAAATATTTTGCTCCTTTAGAAATTGCAAGATATTGAACACAAACACACAAGGTAATATCAAATATTGGAAAACATTGTTTTTGTTTAATTTACATTAATTTATTAGTTTTCCTGACTGATTTATTTAGGAGCCAGCCAGGTGTACTTCAATAATTCTTCGATATCGTATACTGTGCTAAGCCTGTCTTTATCAAGTTTACTGAAAAAAAAAGATTGAAAATGTCTTAGATTAAGAGTGTCATCACTTCTAATCATAATTTTATGTCAGTATTCTGCTATTGATTTTCTTTTTCAGGAGAATATAGAAAAGCTACTTTAGAAACGACAAAATTATTCAATACTAAGTTGATTATAGAGGCTGATTTTTTTTTTTAGCAAACTGTCATTATGAGGTCTATCTGTTACCTTAAGCCAAACTTTAATCTGAATTTAGCATTGGACACTGACAGAATTAGAAAAATGTAAATCCAGAATCAATATTTGAAATAAACAGTTTGTTTCAACTGATGACAAGTTGGGTGTTCCCAAAATGTTTTGAAGTCTCTGGTGAAAAAGAAATACCTGGAAGACACGCGTGATTAGGAGGGGAGTCAGCTGACAGCTATTGTAGATTGTCAACAGCGCCCTCTCTAAATAACTGGTACCCAGTCATAGAATTGACATGTAACGGTATTCATGCAGATGAGCCACAAAAGCTCTCTTGTTCACCAGTTTTAAAAAGATAATATTTCGGGGTCTTCGACCGGCACCTTCGTGCGAATATTGACCCCAAAGTTGTTGAAAATGTAAGATTTCATTGCCACCCGTGTTGATGTCAATAATATCTGCAACACCTATAACGTATCAACAGCGAAAAGATGTCAGCATCTGACAGCGCTCACCGAATCCAGCATACGGGGCTGGTTACACAACAGGTAGGCCTAAGGCTGTCGAGAATCCAAACATGGCGTTGTACAAACTACAATGCACCTTTTTCGTGAAAAACCGAGTGCTTTGAATTGAAACGATATCTTCTTTAGTAGGCCTATAGATATACTTTGTGACATTTTTTTATTCCCATTCCTTAAGTCTAATTCGAGAAAGAGTTCCATATACAGATACTGCTTGACACCCAGGCTGTACATAAACCTAGACTAGTCTAGTCTGAGACTGGTCTAAAAAGTTGAATTGTTTTCTACATGAATACTACTGGAATTGGCCAACTGTACCTAAATATTTTCCCTGCTAAAATTTGGGTCACGCTGTTGCTTTCAGAATGAGGAATTCTTTCCCCAAACCGCATTTCGAGTAACTTGGACCCTACAAATTGCCATCTGGTTCAAATATGAAATAATGATTTGAACTGTATGTTAATGTTCTTGAGATGATGTCATGGCGCGCGGGCCCAGTGCACCATTCACAAAAAGCATGCCCTGTCAGCACACGCGTGCCGATGACTGATTCATGAGCGCCGCATGCCCAGTAGCTGTGATCACGTCAAAACTGTACACCGGACATTGTATTTGAAGTTTAACATGTTAAACATGACTTTCCACTCGTCCAAAATATTGGATATTGCTTAGTGAAGTCAGGGTCTATAGACATTCATCATCAGGGGAAATACCAGGAGCAGAGATGTTTACAGTACTATTTAATATTGCCACTGATGCTTGAATCTGTTCACAGAGGAGGTTACGTCACTTGTCCAGCTTATCAGCACGTAACATTGTGCCTATCCGTAGAGAGAAGGAATCATTATTGGAAACGTACTTTACTTTGCATATATGGCCTTCAAAAGAGAGTGAGTATGTGCAATTATATCAGAAACCTTTTGTCAGTAAACAATTTTTTGCTGGCAGTCCAAACATGAGAGAGGTTTTATTTGTATTTATTTGCCGATTTAATTACACAGGGTAACCTTATACAGCTGCTTCCCACAAGGGTCCTGTTAGGGGTCATATGGACATTAATTGAAACCAAGACCCAAACTAAGTTAAAACAAATGAAGAATGATGACAAACTTGTTACAAACTTCAGCAAACTGAAATAGACAATTGTGAAATGAAAACGTGGATGACATAAATATCACATCAAGATCCAAGGAACATCTGCCTGTTATGCCCCATCCACATCAACAGTATCAAACAGTGCTTGAGAATTGAAATTGAGGAGTCTGGACAAAAGTGCTATGAGCAGAATGTTTAATCCAAATATGAAATACTGGTTTAA